ATTTCCTTCCTTCCTCCTAATGTGACATGTCAAGACAAATTTAATTCATCACTCCTCCAAAGAGCCTGGTGCCGGGCAGTTACCACAGTTTGGTTTTCAAATCAATTTGACAAATCCTTAGAGAATTGTAAAACAGTCTCAGAGCCAATAATGGCCTGACACTTTGCGTTAACAGAAAAGCTATGACTCAAGACTGACATCTAACCATGTGGCTTCTGGGTTTGCAAAGAAAAACATCATGTTCTGTCACTCGTGACACTGTGACGAGGTGTCAATAAAAGTTAGCATTTTGACCACGCAAAGGACAGAGATACCTCGAAGCAAACTTTTCCTCTACAGCTGTCCTAACCTCTGGTTCTGACCCAGCCTCGTGGAAAAAGTGACGAAAACATTATGTGATTTTGTGCCCTGATTTCACAGTTAGACTAAAGGACTGAAAAGTTGCAAGTTAATACTCTTAATGAGTTCTCTCTGTTTAGATGAACAGTTTCACCACCACCGGTTTAGCAATAAGGATATGACTGACATTCCATATTTATCGTTGGTTTATGATTTGACCCATGAGCTGTTTTTTTCATCCCATTTCCCTGCTGTTTCCTTCTTTCCGTTCCTGTTCCTTCCTCCATACTCCATCTCTCTCACACCCCCGTGAGCATCACAGTGACTGAACTCATTCTCAACTATTTATTTTCTTTATTTCCTGAGATCAGCTATAAAGAACAAACACTATTAAGCCAGCCAATCAATAAGGGAACATCAGCGCTCCTGTCCCCCTCCCCACCCCACTCCACCCCTTGGAAAACAGATTTATATCCTCTGCCTGGGCAACATAAATCACATATTCATACATTAAATTAGAAATATGATTGATAGCAAAGCAGCGAGTGTGTATAAAACCTCATGATGTTAAAAAAAATTAGTTGGGGACTGCAGAGGGTGAAGGGAAAACAAACATTGCATTTTGAGTACAATTCTTCACCGCTCTGAGGACATCTATGTGCTGGAGATGAGTTGTTGCTTAAGGGAAAGGAATATTGACAGAGTAGGGCCAGAGCTAAAGGAGCAAAGCCTATAAATAAGTATCAGCATCTAACCTCCCTTTTATAGGACAATTAACAATGGGAATACTAGCTATGGTAACAGCGACGTTTGTGATCGGAGACCAGCTCCTCTAAAGTCAGAGCTCTTGCTTTAAAGGAGCTGGTCAACTTTCAGCCTCCATCCCGTGCATCTCATTCTATCAGGTGAACCGAGTGTGAAGAAACAGGTTCATTCACAAAGTGACACTTAATGGGATATATACAGATTGTGTCTTGCATTACAGGGCCCAGTGGTTATGGGAGCATTCCAGAGGAGAGAGGCAGAGAAGTATGGCAGCATCCATCAGAAGCCTGGTCGAAGAGGAAAAGGTGCAGGAACAGAGAGGGAACGAGGGCTGAGGGTTGGGGGGCTGCCAAGGACATTTAAGAGAGCTGTCAGGGGAGGCTGATCTATGAAGGACCCCGGCGAAACCTATATCCCAGCATGTGAGTATGTGTTGGTGTGTGAGAGTGCAAGAGAGGGCTGGGGAGAGACGTAAGTGTAGTTGCACCAGTGCATGCTGTAACACATGCACCCTGAAGGCTGACGCACAGTGGAGTCTCTGTGCACAGGTTCAAAGATCAGAGCTGAAGCCCATCCACACAGAAAATCAAATGAGTCGAAAAAAGCAGTAGGGACGCAAACAGCAAGGGATAAGCTGCTCAACTGCAAATAACACGTTTTTTTTGGGGGGTGGGGGGGGTGGGGGTGGGGGGGGGGGTTTAAAGTTGCAGTTCAGCTTGAAGTTGTGTTTTTCAGTAATATATCACACTCTATGAGGACAGAAAGGAAGCATATATGATACAAATGAACCAGCTCTTGATTGTGCAAGCATTTTTAAACAATTTCACAAAAAGTCCATCAAACATGTACTCTGTGTGTGTGTGTCCATGTGTGTGTGTGTAACTTCACTCCCCATAAATGTCCTCACACAGTGACATTGTGGGGACTTGCATCCCTTTTGTCCCTATAACATAAACCATTAAATTTTAGTGCAAAGTCCTGGCCAGATAGGGGTTAAGTTCACATTAGGGTAATGGATGTATTTATAGGTGTTTATATTTCAGCATCCATTTTCATATTTTCACATGAGATTTAAACATGGAGGGTTTGAAATGAAATTATCTTCCTAATATAATAAAGACTAAAGACTAAGGCCAGCCAGTATGTAAGAACTCGCTGTAGCTCTGTTTCGTAAATAGACAAAATTATCTAGTGAAATCACTTTTAAACTGAAAGTTTGCATTTAAAAACCTAAAGACATGAACAGAGTCAAGAGAAATAAAAAGAATATGGTGCAAAGTTTCATTCTGCATGTTAAGGATTCATTGCTTTGGAGCCAACAGGGGACTAAATGTCATGATATCGCAGCAGCTGTTTATCAATCAATCAGAGTTTCTCTCTTGCAAATCACAAAACTTTATATATAAGTTATCATACATTGTTCATTTAAAAAGATAATTATCATTAAACTACACCCTGCTCACTATGACACAAAAGTTGATAACTAGTGCATTTTGTGTTATGTTTGCACAGTTTGGTTACAGAAGCGCACATTGTTAAAGTAACTTTTCTGTGGTAATAATAATGAATTGACATGAACACACAGAGGAGCTTGCAACTCACTAGGAGTTATTTTAGGAAACAAACATTATCAGACACACCTGAAGGAGCCTAAAGGTTGCAGGAAAGCCATGAGAATCTGTAGGTAGCAAGCGGGCCTGTTAGCCAGAGAGGAGTAAATGCCAGGCAACCCTGCCAGGAGGGGCACAGCACTGGGACCATTACTAAAGCTTAATGATATGAGAAGTGTTCTAGCCACCGCAGAGGGGATTCATCATGATGCTGTAGCACTATACATCTTTCAGCAGCCCTTAAAAGGGAAAGGGGACATTTCTCCATGCTGTAGTAAAAAGCCCCATCCCTTCCCCATTTCTTCCCTCGAGCTTTCCACAATCCTCGTCGTCGCTTAAAGAAAGTCTATTTAAGGATCATTGTGTCTAAGGAAGAAGGGGGGGCACGACCTTGACGACAAGTAAGAGTGAGGCGAAGAGGAGCGCTGAATGGGTGTGTGTAGCTGATGGAAACAGGCGGCGACCACAACATTGTTTCTCGTGTTTGTCCCAGCGTACCCCAGGGGTAGGAATACAATTCACTTTCCGCCTCAAAGTCACACTATACACTGTCACTGGCTTCAGCTGAGTGCTGATAGATGTCTCTTCGTCCCTCGTAAATAAGTAAAAAAAAACAAAAAAACCTGCCAAAAAACTCTGATCTCCAGTGTAAGAGACTGTAGATCAGGGTGTAAATAGCTGAAGGTATCATGCGCAGTAGTACATCAAGCCCAGAGCATTTTCTCTTTCTCGAACCCCTCACATTTTGTGGCCGTGTCAGAGAACTGTGCAACGTGTAAATCAGCCAGGACAGATAAACTCCAATTAAAGAGCAATGAGACACAGTATGTAAAAGGACTTCTCTTTGGGTCTTTAACTAATTTTATAGCCTGGAGCCAATATGCAGTAATCAGAACATGAAAAAGCTTTCTGTCCTCATGTTTGCATTGTTTGAGTCACAGCCACCTGCCTACAGATTTACACCAGTAGATCACAGACAATAACAGTAAAGACAGAAGTGCACTGGTTTATGACTTCAGCACTTTCAGTTTGAAGTCTTCCAGCACCAGTGAGTTTAAATTATGGTGGGAGACGTCCTTGGGATGTGAACATCTCATTTCACCATGCCGTACGCAACCACGTGCACATGCACACACACACACACACACACACACACACACACACACACACACACACACACACAACTCATTTCGTTGGGGGGGGGGGGGGGGTCTCTGGGAGGCTGGACTCAGCAGAGCGTGACATAAGAATTATACATCTGGCAGCAGTAAACCTGCAAACTCTCTCTCTCTTTCACGGGTATGAGGCAGAACACTAACTTTTTGATGATCACTCTGAGAGGGAACTATTTGTTATTATTGCTGTTTGATATTGATGTTTCTAACGAGCTTTGTGCGGATATGATGCTGTTGTTCCTCCTAGCAGGATGCACCATTTCCCTGTCAATCAGCATGATTGTGCAAAAATTAATGCACCGAATTTCTTGAAACTTCTCGAAGCATGGTCGAGCGTGGGTACAGAAAGCACCAGCTTAATTTTAGTGCTTTCTCCAATTATTTTTTTAAACCGCAAGACAGGGCATTAGCAGAGCCTGAGAGCTTCTAGTTTTATGACTTTGCACATACAGCTGAAGCAGCTTTCTGGGCATCTTAAGATAACAAAAAAGAAGCATTTTAAGCATTTTAAGTGCTTTCCTTTGCTTCAATGGCATTACTACAACAAGCAAAAAACATACTGAAATGAAAAAAAAAAACATATTTCTTTTATAAATATAAATTATATAGAGTCACAAGAAAAATCGAAGCCTGCACCTTTTGAAGATATAAATATAATAAACCTTTATGAACACATAACATATATGGTGGGGATATATTTCAGTATACACGAAAGGAGCCTGGAGGCACCGTTTAAACGAACTTATGCTCCAATTTGTTAAATGGCTCATTCAAATCAGTCTGCCTGCGTGTAAAAAAAAAAAAACAGGAAAAAATGGTGGCTGACATCCAAAAATATCTAATAACTTTCATCTATAATCACACGTGGATGGGACAGAAGTCACAGCATCCCAACTGAACCGAGTAAGCTCCGCATCCTCATCCCAGCTGCGCCCCACTGCCAGATTATAATAAACACCTGCCGACACGCCCACCCGCCGTTTCCCAGCTTCCCTATTGGTTTTCATTTTAGATATTCAACAAGCTGCGCGGAGATTGGCTCAAATCTCGTACAAGCGATTTCATAAAGCAAATCTTTTGGAAGTTGTGTAAAGGGAATAAGTGGGGAAAAACCCTTGAGATAAAGGCTGTTTAGCTCTCTCTCTCTTTCGCTCTCTCTCACCGTCCCTGGTGTCAGTTCGCTGGAGGATTTTGTCGGAGTTTCCCGAGCGTCTCTGCATCTGTGAGTACCTGAGTCTGCCCGCTGCTGAAGCTGCCGTCTTCCGCTGGGTTCAGGATCGTTGTGGCGCTCAGCTGGGATCTGCTGCGCAAAGACGCGAAAGAAAGTTGACGATTTGAACGTAACTTTCAGAGCAAAACCTCAACCCAGACAGAGACGCTTGTTATCAATAATGCTGTTAAACGGTCATCCCCTTTGGTTACAGTAGCTGTCACGGATTAAATGATGCTCATAGTTTTAAAAACGCCGATGTGCAGGTAGTTAAATGACAGCAGGTTTGTTTTGTAAATGGACTTATCATTACCGAGGTGGAGTGCGCTTATTTTTTAACTTTTCTCATTTTTAAAAGAAGTATTTTTATTTGATAGATAGATAGATAGATAGATAGATAGATAGATAGATAGATAGATAGATAGATAGATAGATAGATAGATAGATAGATAGATAGAACAAAAACCAATAAAAACTACTAAACGTTGTTTAAATGATTATGTGGTGGTTTAAACTACTCATATGATGTGTTTTGTGAGTCAAATGAACAATAAATGAACAATAATCCTTGCTGGATTTATTGTTGCCTTATATTAAGTGGTAAATGATAGACGAACAAGAGCTTGTCATTAATGTCAGGTGTTGATTGAAGTGTAATTCACTGTGACTGGTAGAGTGCTTTGTGTTTGTATGTGTGTATGTGTGTGTGTGTGTGTGTGTGTGTGTGTGTTCTGCAGTGAGGGTGTCCTTCACAGAAAAGAGCTTCTGCAAAAGTGTGTTTGAAAGTGAAGATGTTGCTGGCTCTTTGTCGCAGTGTTATCAGGATCAGAGCTGAGCACGAATTCTTCAGAAAGCACATGCTGATGTTGCACGCTGTGGTAATGACCTCTTAATGCCAACATAAATAACCACATCGAAAGCATTTCTCTGCTCTGAAACGACTATTCGTTTCCTGGGCCGTTTCATTGTCTTTGAATGGTTTACAGGAGATTACTTTGCTTGATGTTCCCTTGTTTGGGCGGTGACCTCGGCAGATGTTATATCATCGAACCCAGATGAGGGCAAAAATGGTTTGTGGATATGTGCTTGCAGAAAAGTCCAACTTTGCTTGACAGCTGAAGAAGGATGTCTTGGTTCTTACTGCAGTGAATCTGTGGCGAAGAGACTTCATGTCCTTGGCTGGATAATATAGTACCTCATGATTTTATCAAACTGAAAAGTCTCCAGTGATTTCATGCACTCATCTGTCCTATCACCAATCCTCTTTCATGTCGCTATTACTTTGTGTGGGTGACTTATAAGGGATACCAAAGTTTTTTTTTCCTTTTGTCTTTTTCAGGCTGGTGTTCAACTGAAATATGAATATAACCTTGTATGCATGGCTATTAAAGTTAACCTGTCCACCTTTCTAGTAGAAGCTGCATCATTTACACGTTGTTATCTTGTCCTCTAATTGGCTGATTTGCAGTTCATTTAAAAAGATCTAAAGAGACTGTGTGCTGTTCCATAACACTTAGTTTTTTGACTTTCCACGTTTCCGTTTCCTTTTCTTTTTAATTTATAGCCCACTCCCCCTATCTAATATGGAGTTTATTAGCAAGTCTGTAAAGTCCCTTTCTCTAGTGTGGAACTGGCCAGCTCATTTGTCATCACATCCTGCTCTAATGGGGAGAAACTGCCTCATCTTGAGCTCCCAGTGTTGTTAATTAACCCTTCTTGCTAACAGGCACAGTCCACATTACTACCGGCTCTTCTGCCGGCGTTATCGCTGCGCTGCCTGCCCAGGGAGTTAGCGTTGGCCCCGGCCATATTTCTGCAGGTGTCAGCAGAGGTGCTTCCTCTCCTGCTTTTTGTGCTTTCGAGAGTATTACTCAAGCAGCACTGTGGTTTTATCTTAAATTGAATTGTTGAGGGAGATGTTAAAGAGCCATACATCACCTGGACACTCAGCAGAAAGGGAGAATCTGCAGCAGTATAGATGGGAGCGTCTCAGCGGCATTACAGATGGAATGACGGAGGACATGTTCATAAATCCACAGGCAGAGAAAATCAAGTTGTCAGCCTTTAGAATGCCACTTAAATGTGTGCACGTGTGTGTCTGTGTGTGTGTGATGTTTTGCAGGGCTGTTGCTGATGAGCTTCTTATTTCAGCGTTAAGAAGGTGACCCTTCTCTTTGCCAATTCCTCTTTGCTTCTTTTCAGCCTGAGCGTCAGAAACTCCACCTCACCTTTACCTGCCTGCAATTCACAACTCGAATTGGATCAGTGTTCACCTTTTATCTGCTTACCACTTAAAGGACAATAATACATCACTGAGTCCTTTTATCCAAACAGAAAAAAAATCTTTTCCATTTTAGTGTTGGTCCTTGTCTCTAAGGAAACAACACCTCAGGTCTGTTATAACAGGTCGTATTGGTTTCCTCTGTACTCACTTGGCCTCTGGCTAATGCCTTCGCTCCATGTATGGATTTTCTGTCTTGTAATTCCTCAGCCTGTCTGCATGTGATGGGTTGTTCAGATCTAACCCTGCAGAATGCCGCTGATTGCAGTGGTATATCCTCATCTTTATGTCTGAGTATAGCAGGAAGCTTTGCCAGCAATGTTTGCCTTATGATGGATTTGGAGAACTAGCAAAAAAAAAGTGGGGGGATGTGTTGCAGTTGCAGATGAATGACTCATATTTTTTTATGGGATTCTCATTACACATCAACTAGCAGGTCACGTGTGCAGTAGTTCAGGTGAATAGCGTTGTGGATTGGATGAATGGTAATTTTGCTGTTCAGACTGTATATGTCTGTACAACGTCCGTTGGCGTTATTCAGCACTTGAATTCTTTAAAACAAAAGTCATGTTGCAAATAGTGTGTTTCGCCCTTCAGGTAAGGATGTTGTTGTGGCTGGTTTTGTTCCTGCCCGCCCTCTCGGTGGCTCAGAGGTCAGAGCCCGTGTTCTCAGCTATAACCAAGACCGTCCTTCCTCCAGACTACGACAACAACCCCACCCAGCTCAACTATGGCGTGGCTGTCACTGATGTGGACGGGGATGGAGACCTGGAGATATTTGTAGCTGGGTGAGGAACGTGCAGAGAAAGCTGGACTTACCATCACCATAAAAACCCCCTAAATCCCTTAAGTTTCCCTCCCACTAGTCTAACTCTTAAGCTTAAATAAAAACACAACTTCCAAAAGATAAAGGTTAAAGACAAAGGCAAAAAAAGCTAAAAGATAAGAGATGCTAAGGCCACCCTGGGGCTCAGTCAACTGATGAAAAATGGATATGATCGAAAAGAGTGCCAGTGATGGGAACAGCTTTACAAGACTGCCTCAATCCAGCAATGACTGAGCATGAATACATTTCCCAGTGCTTAACAGGAAATAGATGAACCAAAAATGACCCTGCTTAATAGATGTAATTTAGGTAAAACATCCTATTCAGCAGGTATCCTGGACGGGAGCTCATCCCAAAACCTCATAGAGGATGTAATTTAATTTACAATTAAAATAATTACTTTTATATACATTACACTGACAGTGCCGACCTTCTCTAATATACTTTGGTGACAACCAAGAAAGCTTTTGTAGTGTATATCCAAACATTTTAGACTATATTTTTTAAGTATTTAGGCAAATTTAGATTTTGATTTCAAACTGAATGTTAGCGAAATGCACTGTCAAGAGTAAGTTTACAACATTTCTTGCAAACTGGCATAAAAAACATCAGAGGCTTGGATTCTAAATCAAAACCATGAGTAGAGATTACACTGTTGAAAAAAAATGTGTGCAATCAAAATTATCCATTGTTCTGTTTTACACCTCTCACTGATTTGCTCCCCACTGCAATGGCACCTGAGGCTTATGGGTAGGGCTGCCACGATTTGTCGACTAGTCACGATTACGTCGACTATCAAAATCGTCGACGACTGATTTAATAGTCGAAGCGTCGTTTGAAGCTTTGTAAGATCACAAAAGACGCAGGAATAAGTGGCAGGATTTAAGAGTGTAATAACGGACTGAAACAGAAGATGGCAGCATTGCATATACAAGGATGCCAGCTGCCGTTAAACCCCGAAGAAGAAGAAGAAGCAGCTGTGTCCCAGAATTCATAGCGCGGCCCAGCGCAGTTTCCAACAATGGCGGCAGCTAGTTAGTTTTAATGTTACTCTTATTATTCTTTCTGGGTCACAAAATAAACGTTTAACATATTTTCAGGCGAGAATGTAGCTGTGTAAACCTCAAATATCTGCTCAGTTTATCAGGACACCACATATTTTCAAAAGCGCTCCGACGTTTTCGGAGACATCTGTTACCCACTAGCTCGTTAGCGAGCCGGGGGCTAGGCTCACTAGCGCCGCGAGAACACCGGACTCCCGGCAAATCGTTTTCAAACCCACCGCCGTCTTTCACTACTCAGGTTAAATATATATGAGTCACTTAGATAACTTAAAATGTTATTGTTTGGCTTTTTTTTTAGTATTTTATTTGTTCCTGAGTAAATCAGTTTGTCTGAGATTAAAGTTTTACACAGCTGAATAAACTCAAGGAGACAACTGATTATCAGAAGTGTGAGATGCTCCAGAATATACCCCAGGACACTGGGGTATATTCTGGAGCATATTCTGGGGTATATTTTAGATAGCAAGGAGTTTATTAAACTTCACCGAAACAATCTGCAAATTTCATTAAAATTTAATAAACTATCATCTTGTCTTTATTTTTAGTTAGCACAGACCTTAAACACTTAAAGCTGTAAGCTAATGATAGTTATATAAGAGCAGATGCTGCTGGTGCAATAAGCTGTAGTTTTACGTCCAATGGATGATGATCTGATTAGTCGACTAATCGCAAAAATAATCGGTGACTAGTCGACTATCAAAATAATCGTTTGTGGCAGCCCTACTTATGGGTAAACAAAATTCATGAGCTCCAATGTGACAAGCATAAGATCTCAGTGAAACGTCTCCATAATATAAACCTAAAGGGCTTCTGTGTCCGGTAAACTAAGGACTACATGACTGACTCATCCTGGACTTACATGCCATAAAATCCAAATTATGAAAATACATGAGTGACGTTATTACGCAATAAACAGAATTCGTTTGCATGTAACAGATATTTTTAAGAGGCAAAAAATAGACATTAAGGTCAAAATGATTTGCTATAAGTAAAAATAAATAAATAAAATGTGAATCTAAAAATTTTGCTTGCCAATCAATCTCTCTGATCAAATCTGCAACTACAGAATAGAAGAGAGATGCAGGAGTCCAGCTGTCATCAAAGTCTTTATAAAGTTAAACTTCAAACTAAACCAGCAAGCAAATGTTGCTTTCAGCATGTTCAGCCAGCACTTGCTAAAGCTCATAAACTGTAAAACAAGAATGTCATACTGTCAGTCATGTGCATTATAACAGCGTGCTATTTTTGCCCGTGACAGCTACAACGGCCCGAACCTGGTGCTAAAGTACGACAAACAGAGGAAAAGGCTTGTCAACATCGCTGTTGACAACCGTAGCTCCCCGTTCTATGCCCTGAGAGACCGTCAAGGCAACGCCATCGGAGTGACAGCTTGTGACATCGATGGAGATGGACGGGAAGAGATTTATGTCCTCAACACCAATAATGCCTTCTCTGGTACAGTGCGAGCTGATACACTTTTGGAAAACTACAAAGGCACACATAGGGCTTTCTTTCTTTTTTTTCCTTTTACACAGAGACAAAGGAGGAGAATCGGTATGCAGATATTAAGCTTATCTCAGCTGAGTCTTCAGCAGATAACAGATAAGCTTTGCGCTGCTATTAATCTGTGAGAAACCCAGAGATCAGACTGCCAAAACTGCAACACCTCACGTCTGTCATTTTTCTTAAACTCCTTTATCACTTTGCTCACTTCCAGCCACAGGAGCCTGTTTTCACTCACCCACAGTTTTTGCATTACACAATGCCTCTTTTCTCCACGCAGTCTTTGTCTTTCCTGAACCTTTTCTCTCTCTGCATCAAGGTCGGGCAACATACTCTGACAAGCTGTTTAAGTTCCGTAATGGGCGCTTTGAAGATCTGCTGAGCGATGATATTAACGAACACAGAGACGTAGCCAACCCTATGGCTGGGCGCTCAGTGGCCTGTGTGGACAGAAAGGTACTTCTCATACAAACACACACACACACATCAAGTGCACTATATGCAGATCTGCACCGTACGCACACTCCCTAGAGTGTCTTCTCCGTACATGCACGGGTGCTTCTGTTTGTTTACCAGTGATAACTCATGCCCTGCCTACGCCGCCCTTCTCAGCATGTGCTATGACAGTTCATTTGGGGGGAATGGTGTGCCATTTTCTCTCTTCTGTCCATCGCACCAGTGTAATTACAGAAGCCAGGGCTCGTTTGTTTTATAGAACATCGTACGAGGGGAGGAGTGATGACTGCACACTACTGCTTTCTGCCCGTAGCATTTTTTTCCCCTCTTTCACTCAGTCCCTTCTCCATTGTTTCCACTTTTATTTTTTAGTCCCTTTTCTCTCACTGACTGACACGCTCACCCTCTTTCTTTGTCTCTTATCTCACACCCACGCATGCAATTCTCACTTCCAATCAGGGACGGGCTAAAGAAGGTAATAGCGGGAAGAGGAAAGTAAAGACTACAATAGATTTTTTTAACCACTGTCCCATCACACTGAGCACTGATAAGTTGTGCTGCTGCCAAACCGATTGGAAAGATATCTGCTTTTAAATGGCACGATTCTTTTGGAAGGAGCCAAAACCCCGATGTGTGCTTTTGCATGTCAGTTCCAGCTGACCAGCAGAGAGAGAACATGTTTTCCTGTTGCTGAACAGGTTTTATTAGAACATATTAAAAGAAACAGCTGCAGAACGTTGCACAGGCCAAAAGCAAAGCATGCTTTATATTCAGCTGGGTAGCTAATGCTTTCGATGTTGTTTACTCATAAATAAAGTGTTATCTTTAAGAGAAAAAGATCGATTTACCACCCGACCGTTTTGTCCCTACCCGGTCTCCTTGAAAGTGACATCCCATCATCATTCTAACACAAACTGATGAAGGTGACATATTGAAGGGCCTCACATTGAACTGATAGATTGGTTCACTAAAACTTTAAACTGGCAGGCATGAAAAAATAAACGACTTTTAAAAGCCAGAATAATTAAAAAATTGTTCAAATGAAGCTCAGTGAAAAAGTACAAGATGCAGTTCTTGACAATAAAAGAATAAAAATGCTGCAGTAGCGGCAAGTTAGCTTATTCATACTTCTTGATTGATGTAAAGGGTGTGCAGTCCTTGGACCAACATGCACTGCAGGCATGTATAGCGCGTTATTCACAATGCCAATCCCAGTGACAGAAATTAGCCTTGGGTGAAGACTTATTGAAAAACCGTTGACTTTTAAGTTGGTTAAGTAACTTCCAGTTGCCTTTAGCTCTTTCATTGTAATTCATTTTCATGTTTGGCAGCTTCGGAGCGTGCTTGCGTGTCCGGCATGCGGTGTGTGCGCGACGCACTGCTCCCACAGCATGTGACACTAAATGACATTTATATCAACCAGACTCATTTACCTTCCTTGCATTGTAAAGATACAATATGGTGTAACAGAAATAGTGAAATTGCGTGTGTGCATTTGTTTGCATATGTGCATGTGTTTCTGTTGATTGAAATATGTTAGGCCTGGTGGGAAAGCTCATTGGAATCGAGTGTGTAGTCTATTAGTGTGGTTCCGTCTGTGATTTTGTGTCTGCAGGGACTCTGACTGATAATGGAGTGTGAAATTAATCTCCAAAGGGAGGCAGAGCAAGGAGTAGGGAGAAAGGGCTAAGAATAAGGGGTACGGGGTAAGAAATGGGGGTAGGTGGAGCTGAAGATGACGAGAGGTTTGACTGGGAAAGTAAACAATATTAATAAGCATAGTAACTCCAGAATATTAATAATAAAAAAAGATGATCTAGACAGTGTTACAAATAACCTGTTTAATCCTATTTTTGTTTGATGAATACTCCAACGTGAGGGTCTGAAAGAGGTTGCATATTTCAAAACATTTGCTTTTTCAGTTGGCTTTAAGGAACTTTATAGTATTTCAGACATTTTTAAGCTGACTACAATTTTTCTGTCCTGTCCTGCAGTCTAGAGGTAGAACATAGATTTATATATTGAGCTTAGAGCCTCCACTCCCACTCAAAAGAGTAAAAGAAAATTGTGTTGATGATGCAATTGAAGAACTAATGAAATAAGAGAAAATGCAGCCAATCCTTAATATGGTCAAAGGAAAAGTAAATGTTTTTATATATGACATGAGCACCGTAGAGTCTGTTTTACTGACTATAGACATCTTAAAAAGCTCTTCAGGAAACACAGAAATGCAGAAATATAAAACATGTTTGTTTTTTTTAATTTACAGTTGCTTATAATTTCATGCGTAGCTATGAGTGCATTTGATCGGGTTGCAGCATATTCTTGATTTATATTAATAAAAATATGAATACACGTAAATCTTTATTTTTCTGCACAGGGTACAGGTCGTTATGCTATCTACATAGCAAACTACGCCAGTGGCAACGTGGGCCCTCATGCGCTCATAGAAATGGATGAGGCAGCGAGTGACCTTTCGCAGGGCGTCGTTGCCCTCTCCAATGTGGCAGAGCGGGCTGGAGTCAACAAATTCATTGGTGGGTATGAAGCACTGACTGGGGGTATTTGATATAGACGATTGCTTTAAGATCACCCAGCACTACTGGACCTTCAGTTTGATTTATACAGACATTTGCAGAAGGGGCATGTGCTTGTTGTACTCACAGAGGTTGAAATATAGGACTTCGCGACACACAGGGAAGCAGACGAGGGGCGAGTCAGAGGGGGTTAGAGAAGTGCCAGGCGAGAAAGAGAAAAAGGGCTTGAGAGAAAGAAGAAGAAAGAGGATGTAAAGGCTCTTTTGGCGCTGTCAGCTATTTACTCCAGCCAAAGTCACAGGGAATCAAAGGCAAAGGGCGGCAAACACATATATCAAACCTATTCTAACCATGAAATTCAGCTGTTAATCTTGGCATCTAAATCAAATTAAATAGTTTCCGTTTTAGTAAGACAGTAATTGAGAAAATTCATGGATGGCATTAATTATATTTTAGCATTAATTGTTTGGATTAAAGGGTTTTCACATACTGGCAGAATAATCATTACAGGAACATAAAACATTGTATTTGGCAAATCAACTCCCTGTTTTCATTAAAAATGTTGCTTAGAACTGTTTTTGGAAACAAAATGAATATTTCACTGAAATGATGTTGAAATGTGTCACTACAGCCCGCGTCATCACGTGGATCAATTTAGGTCTGTGATATATAGAAGAACAGAACAGTAAATGCAAAAAATGTTACCATGATTAATTTCTTCATAATAGAGACTGTCATGATGAAAAAAAATGCTGCCCCTGTGATAATTTATTATAATCACTGAAAAGTCCTTGTTCTGGTGAGTTTTGGAAATACGAGGTGACTTTGTATGTGAGCGCCCCGGCATGAATCTTCATCATCTATGGATTTTTTTTTCACGTGCAGGATATCATCTGATCCACCAGGGGGGAAGATGAGCTTGCTCACATTTGCTGTGAATGATGTACGATAGATGGCTTTGTCATCAAACTGCCGTTAATCAGAGGAGAGGGACAGTCGGTGAAGTTGTATATCTAATGGTTACATATCTCCAGAGAGACATTAGTGGTTTATGGCCGTAGGGGTTGAGTGGTATTTGTCTGGGTTGATGGAGCGGGCCAGTAAATCAGCAGCGAGTCATGACTTGCAGCAGTGACTTTGCATACTGGAAGGACAATCAAAGCCCTTTCAACTCCATAATTAAACTCTGCTGGTCTGAGATGAAGCACTACATTTTACAGAATGTCACTGGAGAATCCTGGGGTGATGCTAAAAGTGTACCTTCAAGTGTAACAGTTACAAAAATCACTACATAAGGAGAAAATTACTGTTTGCTTTTGGTTAATGCAAAAGATTCTTTGTGTTTTTGCATTTCTTGTTGTGCTTAGGTGTGTTTACCTGTGTTTGTGTGTATGTAACCCATCAGAGTCAGTGTCTGTGTCAGCAGAAAGAGCTGCCCTACTCAGAGGAAATGACCTGGAAAGACAGTAATAATCTCTTCCCTTTCACTTTTGTTAAGGCGGTGATCTCTCTCCCTCTGCTCTCTCTGTTGTTCCTCATATCCTGCTTCATTTTTTTCCTCCCAAATGTTGTGCTAGCCCTCTTCTGAGCTGCCTAATTCTCCCACCGCTGTGTGTCTTGTTCCCTTGTCTTTCTCTGTGCAGGAGGAAGAGGTGTCGTGGTGGGGCCCATTGTCAGTCAGACTCTGTCTGATGTGTTTTGCGACAATGAGTACGGTCCAAACTTCTTGTTCAGGAACAATGGCGATGGAACTTTCACGGATGTGGCACAGCAGGCTGGTGAGATGATCACGTGCAGTTTACCAGATCATAGCCTGGGAGATCAGTTATTTCTTCACACATCAATCATCCTGTGAAAAACAATAAACGCGAGAGGCATTGTTGTATAGAATAAATATCAGTCGTGCATGATTCCTAAAATATTTCAACCTAATTAATATAAAAATCTAAGTTTGTTAAACCATATATTTTAATATTGTGGCTTTTAACGATTAATTAGCTGTCAACTGCAATGAAACCTCACAGAATGAGAAAGCAATAAATTAAGTTTATTAAAAAAATAAATAAATCAAGATGATTTAAATGCACTATAGTAATAATAACTGGTGAGGCCTCCTTTTCTGTAATGACTCATTGTGATAAAGTATGTGTTTGATCGCTGCAGGTGAAGCGCAAAGCCATCAGCTTATCAGAGAAGCTGTTTTTTTTACCGTCATCTCATGATGACAAGAAAGTGATTGCCATGAATTCAGTGATTGATTTTAAACATTAGAAATGTAGCACTTCATCGTTTTTATGTCACCAGTTTGTTGTTTAATAAATCAGACACTGAAGTGCTGTATTGTACCCAATGACACAGTTCCAGCAGCAGCACTGGTCAGGGTTACCTGGTTTTGAAAATATTGATGGCAGATGATGGAAACAGATTGGGAACATCTCGAATCTTTTTAGGTGTAGAAGACCCCATGCAGCACGGCAGAGGGGTGGCTCTTGCAGACTTCAACCGTGACGGTAAGACGGACATCGTCTACGGGAACTGGAACGGACCTCATCGGTTGTACATGCAGCTCAGTAACCGCAAGCAAAAGTTTAAGGTGGGCCCGGATTTGATGCTATCAGCTCAGTTAGCATCAAACCGACACGACTGCCAGATACCTTATAAAGACCTACTTCAAATGATCACATATGATAAATGGAAGCATGGGCATTCTCACATTTCCACACATTCCACTCCACATGTGATCTGCTGAGGAAAGTGTGCTCAAAAGTTGCAGTGCTTGTGATTTCACTGCAATAACCGATTGAATAATGTGATTTTACTTAGTGAAGGACCCAAAAAGCCCATTCAGATTGTCACTGTCAACTCTAGAGAGTTTCAGAGAGAGGTTGTTGTTCTTCTGTCTAATGAACAAGGAGCACAAATAAAACAAATCAGACCTGTTATCACTGTGAATCAAAGGACTATCAATCCAAATGGTTGGCGAGTGAATTAACACTACTCAGTGGCTGCCCACTTTGCGTTTGAGTGGTATTTAAAGACGCAAGGTTAGTGATTTACTCAATCAATGACTCTACAGACAGCGTGTGCAAGGCAGCCAGCAGCACGCATCTGTTTGGGTACTAAGTTTTAGAGTGGCGAAGTCAGAGACAGGCCCTGCTGCATAAATCTGTAGAGGAGTCGGGCTCGGTGATCTATCTGCCACCACCTGCACTCGCATCTTTTACCTAGGAGATAAATGTCACCCAAGACATCTTTATAGGGGTCGAGTAAGGGGTTAATGTGTGATGCTTTGCCCAGAGATAGTTCCATCAGCATGACACACACACACACACACACACACACACTGAGACACTCAAACCCTGTTACGCCTATACGTGCAAAAACACAAAAGACAAATTGAATTAGCCTGACAATGTTTTTTTTTTTTTTGAACCAAGATTGTTAAATCATAACCCCAAAACATATTTAAGACGCCCTTCACCCACACAAGCTGACACTCCTACTAGCCGTGTTGACCTTTGGCATGCATAATGAAGCTGTTGTATCACTTCAGTAAACCACCAATTAAATTGGGCTGAACCAGCAGCTTGCCTGGGCAGTGGAAAGTGCCGATTAGGCCCGTTTGTGCTTTAATTAAAATCTGTTGCAGAGGGTTTCCTTGGAATAGGTTTAACATACACTTGTGCTCACACATACACATAATGAATATATATTTAAAAAGAAGAAAGGTTTTAGTAGAAGTTCTCTTGGAGTTCTTTTGCATTCAGTAATCTGAAATAAAAATTGGTCAGTGTAAGGAAATTTAGTCATTTTACTATTTATTTCTAATTAACTCCATGCAGATTATATCTTTAGAAGCCCTGTATTAGTTCTGGGGAGAGCCCTTTTTGTTCCTGAAGGCACTTTTATTCATGCGCCTACTGTCTTCGGCACTTATTACGGAGCTGTCCCTGCTGTCCTCACTCTTGGCCTCAGCTGGCCATCCCCTCTCCTTCACCTGAGAAGCAGAAGGTCACTGTGGGCGGCCCCCACCCCTGCAGCTTTATGAGCCTTATAATTAAAACAGGGAGTAAATACTGGGGGGAGTGAAGGGCTGCTCTATAACTCTTTCCCGACTTATCACTGTGTCACTGAAGCGGGGAGATATCTGTTACTTTCTCATGCAAAAACTCTTCTGCTGCAGACTTTTTTCGGAGGTGGGGCACGAGGGCTGCTGTCGACTTGCCCCATGCCAGAGGATGTAAAAAGAGCCCAGACACAAGCACTGGACGCTGATTGACATGTTTTTATTTTGAAGGAGGTTGAACCTTGAGGTTATGAAACGGTCTTTCGAGCGAGTGCATCAGGTCACATAACATTGAACAAAATGGACTAAGGAACCACGAGATGTAATCACAGCAGGTTCATGTAAAAACAAGTTCATGTAAAATTACACATCCTTCCAATGTTTTTACCTCGAAAACCTCTTCTGCTTATACAAAGTTACTCTGGTGTTCTCATATCTAGACAGTTGAAGGAAAGGAAAACCCTTTAACCCTGATTAGTCAGTGGAATTGAGCAACTTTTTTGAATCCACTACTAGGCCAGGGCCTGTCTTTGTGGAGTTTGCATGTACCCTGGCTTCCTTCCAAAGTCAAAAGAAATGCAGTTAGTGGGGTTAGGTTAACTGGTGATTCTAAATTACCCATAAATATGTAAATGTGAGTGCAAATGGTTGTCTCTCTCTATGTGCTAGCCCTGTGGTTGACTGGCGACCTGTCCACCAGGGTGTACTTTGCCTCAACACTCTTGCATGGGTTGGACTCAACTGCAGTAAATAAGTTGATTTATTATTAATTAATAAAATTGGTCCAACTCAAGTACATTAAGTCTGAATAACAGAATTTTGAGAACAGAACTGAGATCAGCTGCTACAGGCTATATAATATATTATTTGTAAAAATTAGAATGTTATAACTATAAATACGGAAAAAGCTATATAAATCCTGATAATTCTGGTACCCTGGGCAGTTTATCTAGTAAGTTTCATCCAGATTCATCCAAATAGTTAAAATGCAGTATCCAGCATCCAGTTTCATCCAAATAATTGAAAGGCATTCAACTTATGCATGCATTGTGCTTCTGTAAATGCATGCATGTGTTTCAGTGATGTTACCTTTTTCCCCAGGACATAGCATCCCAGAAGTTTTCCATGCCCTCCCCGGTTCGAACTGTTGTCGCTGCAGATTTTGACAATGACAACGAGTTGGAGGTGTTCTTCAATAACATCGCTTACAGAGGCCCCTCCGCCAACAGACTCTTTAGGTACTCGCACCAACACTGTCAGATTTTGTTCAAGTATGACAGTAAGTTTTTAACATCACTTTGATGAGAAGCTTAATCGAATACTCTTGTGTCTTGATTTAATATTCTAAAGCCGAGCATGGAAGCTGAGAAGAATTTAAAATTCCCAGCCAAGGATACTTATCTAGTCTGGCATCCCGCCTCCTCCTCCACACATGAATGAATCTTTCATTAAGACAGTTTTAGGTCTCTTTTTGGCTCGTGGTTTGGCTTCCTCTCTTGATAATATTAATGAACTCAGCTCTTAAAATGTAATATATGATACATATTAATTGTTAGGACTTAATAGTAGAATGAACCCATCTTCCTGAATAAAAATCTGATCTGGCATATTTATCTGAACAGGATGCAGAACTCATGATGAACGTTGCCAGGAGATGTTGGGTTAATTTATTCTGAATATCAATAATCAGTTTGAGCTCCACAGATTTCCTGGAGCTGAATATTCCTGCACACCAGGTCATCGAAGGAAAATTTGTCTTTCTGGGCATGGTCTGACAGGGGTCACAGCTCCATGGCCTGTGGCTCTGCCATTGTCTGCTCCGAAGATGAATCAGCTTTTTTCAAACTCTATTCTCTGGCACTGAAATAAAAACAAGCCCAAACTAATTAATTCAACACAACGAATCAATATTTAGCTTAGCTGAAGTGTTTAATAGTCAGGATCAGCAGATTAGTGTACCAAGATAGCTAATTATTTTAAGGAAAGCAGGTTCATGGTGGGTGATAATGTGCATATGTTTAACAAAGGATACAGGTTTGTAAACTCAATACATTTTCACCAATGTGCTTCACAGAGATATGACAAATTACGAATTGATAATAATTAATTCATACAAATCAGTAATTATGTAAGTTTGGAAATATCTAATTTTCTTCTTGTCTTCTGGTTGTTGTATTTGTGTTTGCTGAGATTTATGTGCATTATTTATGTTAGTTTCCTGTGTTATGTGTAGTAATATGCACTATATCTTCTGATTAGGAGACTGCAGGTCACTGTAAAGTTTTCCACTACAGTAATTGTCTATTCAAAATCTACTCATAATAGAATATTGTCAGTAGTCTGAGTGGTGCCTATTATATGTACTATGTACTAATTTATTGACAATATCACTACGGATATCAGCAATTGGAACAATTCGTTGTCTTTTTTATTAAATCAAGTATAAACTTATCATATTTTAATCTAATTGTGTAATTTATGCATTAAAGAGTTTCCAGTTTCCAGTTTAAAAACAACAAAACAAAACAGTGAATTGTAGCATAGTGACGAGTTTCAGAAAAGCCTTGTGTTATTTGGATCTTTCCTATACTGCAACCACATTTATAGCAGCTTAGAATTTTTGCAGTGATTTCAGGGTAATGTTTGTGGTACTACTTCAATAGGGTGAGCAGGAGAGAACATGGAGACCCCCAGATAGAAGAGCTGAATATCGGGGAGGCAGCAGAGCCTGAAGGACGAGGAACCGGTGAGCATGGCAGAAAAGATAGCTGTCATACAGCTCTATTAAAAATGATAAGCAGCACTACACCATATCTCCTCTGCTATTACAACATCAAACCTCTAGATGGCATTAGAGCTCCACTTAGAATCTGAGTTTCCTCATGCACTTTATTATAGGAAAAAATAGAATTGGTTCCACATTATTAGTTCAATGACTGTTGGATTATGTCCCTGCATGAGGATAATAAATGTTATGAGGAATGTATCCTCGAGTGTTTAGCCGCATCATTACTGTGATGAATCTCCAGGAGCGGTAGCCACAGACTTTGATGGGGATGGGCGCCTGGAACTGCTGGTGTCTCACGGTGAAAGTGCAGCACAGCCTCTCTCTGTCTACAAAGTCAACCAGGTGAGTGATTGTGAGACATGTGATACTCGATAAGTAGTGTGACATTAAGCCTTACTCCCTCTTTTTTTCCCCTTTTTCTGCCTTTTTCTTAGGGCAATGCAAACTCATGGCTGCGAGTGATTCCCCGGACAAAATTTGGCGCTTTTGCCAGGGGAGCTAAAGTGGTTGTATATACAAAAAAGAGTGGCCCACACACAAGAATAATTGATGGCGGCTCAGGGTACCTCTGTGAGATGGAGCCTGTTGCCCACTTTGGCCTCGGTAAGGAAATATCAGAAAATACACGCTTAACTTGTTTTATCTGATCCGCAGATGCAACATCTAATGTTAATTCACTCTGATATAAATTAATAAAAGCATTTCTTCATAGCTTGCTTCTCTTGTTCTCAAATTGGTTTCTGAGGTTTGAATGGGCGGTAAGACAGATAAACATTGCAGAGAGTAGCAGCAAGGAAGAAAACAAAAGCATGTGGAAAGCATTGTCTCAATACCTTCAGCCTGATTAGGCACCCACGGGAGCAAAAGTTCTCTGTGGGAGGGAGCTGATTGGGCAAAACATGAAGAGTGGAGGAGGACAGGTGCTGCAGATGGAAGCCAGCCATGGTTGTGAGGAACTAGCTCTATGTCTCTTTCTGACTGTCCTTCCCTAGGACAGTCAGCTGGTTACCATACAGGCCTGCTAGCCCACCCACCCACTACTCCTCCCTGGCTCTCCTCACTGAGCCTGTTCAATATCAGGATTGTCCAAGCTCACATCACCTTTGGTGGCCCTCATAATACACTCAAGCAGCAAACTATCCAGACAATTGTGGCTTTAGTAGAGACCTCCATTCTCCAGGTTGAAAAGTGTCAGTACTCTTAGACATGTGAGATCTGTTCCCCACAACAAAATGAGACGGTGTCACGTGGGTGTAGAACAGGTGAAATATTCTTTGGCTCTCAGGCAGCACACCTGCTGAGTGGACTGTCTGTCTGGCAAGGTAACTCCAGATCTGTTTACATAAGAAATGCCACTTTAATTAAGGGCTACAGAGGGCCTCTGGAGAGGGGCTTTCTCTATGCCCAATGAAAACAGTTAATAGAGCGAAGAGGGGAGAGTGCTTGTACAACGTGAGCCAGTAAAAAAGAAAGGAAAGAGATAACCTCCAATATATAGAGGTTTCTCACGTTTCATCATGTGTACATTGCTCAAGAATTGTATCTTGTATTGGATGTGATACAACCAGTGGTTGGGAGGGAAAATCGTGTGATTGTAAATTGCTGTGGTTGTTACCTGGTTGCTGCAGGTGCCCATAATTTGCATGAAAGATGGGGATTTGTTTGCAGACATTTGCTAACTACTAGCTGTGCTGTAGTGAAACTTGGAAAAGTGCAATGCAGACTGGAAAATGGAGAACGTTCTCCTCCCAAGTAAAAGTGCCTCAGCTGACCTGTCAAAATGTGCAGCTTTTACTTTGAAGGTGAAAAGTCTCAGTTTCTGGTTTGTGTCACAGTTTGCACAGATTTACTACACCTTACTGGACAGTGTTTGCAGACAAGTTTGCATCTCCCATACAGACTATGGCCGACTAAGACAGGCTGCTAAGGGAGCAGTCTCTAGGCTTGTGTGACTGGGGCTTTAGCAACAACCTTAGGCAACCACCTGCCAACTGGTTGGAGAATACAAATGTTTCCTTTGTGGACTGATGTCTTGACCATACATTGTCACCAAGATTGTTATCCATCTAAAATGACAGACAAGTTACTGCCATGTGGTTAGTCATGTGTCTGACAAACCTCAACACTGTAAGGTTCAGTGATCAGTGGTCTTATATTTCTGTATGCACTGTAACTACCTCAGATTCTACTTCCCTGAATAGGCAAGGATGTGGCCACCAGTGTGGAGGTGTTCTGGCCAGATGGTCGTTCAGTAGCCCGGGCCCTCGAGCCGTCAGAGATCAACTCAGTGCAGGAGATCCACTATCCAAGAGATGAGGAGGAAGTTACTCCTACTGTGGAAATAGAGGTACACAAGTGCTTCATAGTGGGTTTCAGCATGTTTTTTATTCTCAATAAACTAAATACTCATTTTGTCCGAATAACAAAGCTGCTACAAACACAACACCAACTTCAAGAAACAATCGACATCAAGTTGTTTATTGTAAATTGTTGGGATAGTGCAACAGTTTTACGGATCTTTCACAGGAGAGTTCGTTAAAAATAATATTTCTTACTAATTGTCTCTTACAGTGTGGTCACGGGTTTGCTTTGAATGAGAATGGCCGCTGCACGGGTAAGCTGAGGCACTTTATCCACCTTCAAACTCTGTGCTTGTCTCTTTGTTTAAAAATCCTCACACACGTCAAGTGTCTTTGCCTTCCTCACTTCTCCCTGCCCTCAGATCAAGATGAGTGTACCCAGTTCCCCTCTGTGTGTCCCTCTGACCGCCCTGTCTGCACCAATACCTATGGTAGCTATAAGTGCCGCGCCAAGAGAAGATGCAACCAGGGCTTTGAGCCCAACGACGATGGGTCAGCCTGTGTGGGTGAGTGGTCCTGGCAGAGTCAGGGTATCCGGATTACCAAGATCGTTAGAACAAAAGAAGCACTACCAGAGAACGAGATGCATTAAGTCTTAATTACAGTGGTTTGGAATAAAAGGCTTAGAGGTGCTTACATTCCTCCAACCGTGTCCTCTCTCTGCACCCCACTGTCTTGCATGACTGACCCTCATGTGAATGAGCTGTCTTCCAACTACAAAGACACACATGTTGGCTAACATTTCCCTGCCCTTTGTTTCTCTCTCTTCTCGGCAGCCCAGGTGGCTTACTTTGGGGGAACGCGGTCTTCTGGGGAGCGCAAGTGCTCGGGCCTTACTTTCCGGCTGCTCCCCGTCTCTCTGCTACCACTCATCTCTACCCATCTCTATTCTGGACTGCTGTAGCTGTGACTGTTTTCTCCCCTTCCTAACTCTTTCCACTACTAAAAGTGGGTGTACAGAAACTCTTAGAACAAACTTTTAACAAAAAAAGAGAAATTCCTCTTCACCTTCTCCTCTATGGATCTATGCTATCTTTACCCATCAGCTATTTACAGTCTCGCCTCCTGGTCATCCGCTGCTTTGTGTCACCTCTTGGCTCCCGGCCCCCTCTGGACTATAAAGAAACATACAGGGAGCATGCTCGCTGGGAGCTACAGGGTTCAGAACTAACTGTGCCACACCCGCAGAGTCCTCACGTCATCACCTGGCACTTATCTTAGTGGGACCTGAAACAAGGCCAAGTCAATAAGAGGAGCTTCGGCATAGAAACCGCTGCGCATACAGCAAACAGATCTACTGGCTCCACAGACCACATTCATTACAGACACGCTGAGCCCCATCTGTATATCCAAAATGCCTCTATGGTAATCCTTACAATGTCATTCTTATTATGCGCTTACTGGGATGCCGAGGAACACCAGGCCTCCAAACTGTATGTTTTGAGTGTGTATTAATGTGTTTGCGTGGCTGTGTGAGCCTCAGTGTACTGGGTCCAAAGAGGCAGTCGCGTTGGGGAACATATGCCAGACCATCTGTCTCCGATGGTTGGTTACATTTTGTTACACATGAATTATACAACAGCACAGAGAAGAAGGCAAACACATGTGTGTGTGTGTGCGTGTGCGTGTGCGTGTGTGTGTGTGTGTGTGTGTGTGTGTGTGTGTGTGTGTATGTGTGTGTGCGTGCGTGCGTGCGTGCGAGCACAGGATGAGGCAGATTTTACATTTTTTGGAAAGTGTACTAAAACATATCACCGTAGGCATGTGCAAAGAACATGATGACAAAAGGAAAACACCTAAAACTGAACTGAACAGTGCACTTAATTTATGTTGGTGTTTCTCCTTCTGTTACACTGTGATTACAATCATGAACTCAACATGCAGTAAAAGCTGCTGTTCTTACATTTTAAAGTGTTCAAAATAAAGCAGCAGTCTTCAAGATTTCAGTCCTGACTGATTTGGGGACTCCTACAGGTCTTCTTTTGCAACCGGATATTTGTACGACATCACCGCCACAAGGAATCCATCATGCCAGTGCTCACAGCCACCGTCAGTTTGGAGCAGTTGGTATCGAGAAACTACTGAGACAAGCTTTGCGTGTTTTAGTTCTGACAGTAGATAGATGATTAATCCAAACAACTGCCGAGTATTTTTCGTAGCAACCACCTTCGAATGCATTTTAAGAGCAAAAATATTCAGTCACTGAATATTTTTATTCCTTTTACATTGGTTTTAGTGGTAGATAAAATCCTAGTTTGGGTTAAATTACACCCTGTCAAAAACAAGAACCGTGCCCTGCAGAGGCTTTGTGACAGAAAGCATTAAAGCAAACCTTCTACCTTTGATGTGGCAGCAGAAAATTCTCAGTTTGCTTTAAAGGTAGCTTTTTTTCTCCGCTAATGATGCCACAGGCACCTAGTTGGTAATAATAATAATCTTTGAGACTGCCGCTTTAAGTTTTAAGTGCACTAATGCATTCCTAATAGTTTTCCACATAATATAAAGCTTGACAAGTTGCAGTGGCATTCAGTAGTTTTGTTGCTCTTACAAGACCAAAATCCCCAATGTCTCTTATTACGTTCCAAGTCCCCTACTATGTTTGTGACATTGTGGCTCAAGCTCAAATATACAGTTTAGCTTTAAAAATTAATTTCTTAATATATCATTTCCTAAAACGGTGGTATGCTGGCATTTATACTGACTGTACAATGCAGATTTGGTTTGCAGTGGGAAGTGGCATTGACTTGTTTAAAAAAAAGTTCCCGTGTACATAAAATGAAGGCACATTGGTAAATGTGTAGCTCAGTTACAAAGGCATACGATCGAATTCTTTATTTTGGTGTTTTTAAAGGATTTGTTGACAATGACATTAAAAACAAATATCTGGAAAAAAGGAAGAAAGTGGCTATTTGATGAGTCGTGATTTGCACACAGTGAGGTTTCACATAGCCCCGCGTGAAACCTTCGCTACAGCGGACTAAAATACATAAAACATATGGATCTCTTCATTTTTATTAAAAGCTACAGATCTTTTTGCCTTATTGCCATGTTTCTTGAAGCGTTTGGGAAACGAATAAATACTTTGGCCAAAAACAAAAAAGACGACCAAAAAGTGAAAGCATTTTCCTCCACTCCACGATGACAGCGCGTTGACTGACAGGTTTTTGCTTCCATATAATTCTGCAGGGGCACATCACTTGTTGCAACACAACCCTCAACTTATCCAGTGTTCGACCACAATCAGTGTCACAGCAGGGGATAATGTTCCTTATTAAATGTTGGCCAGTGCAATTCTCCAGAGAAGCGGATGTCTTTGTATGAGTCATGGATTCATCCCTACTCGCTTGCTGAGGCAAGTGTTATATATATTTTGGAAATTCTTAACCACAAACCTCACACATTCCACTGAAGCTCCAGCGCTACTCTCTGCCGCGTGACATCTGTCCTTGAGCCTCTTAATGGGCTGGACCCAAACTCCAGATGCCACCTGTGAATATCACACATTTCAGAGGTTTTGGGAGCTGAACTCAGTTCTCTCTTTTTTAATAAAAATAAGGAGGCATCGGAGCATGAAAAACTAATAAGCAAATGATGATGGATGTGTTAAAGCAATTAAAATGAATCACCACAGATCCCTGTTGGATCTATGCTGACATTGTCGTGACACCCTCCACGAAAGCCAAAGAACCTTCAGATTGAGTGCTCAGTGAGACAAAGTCCACTTAAACATTTTTATGTTTTCTCAAAAATTATGTCAGAGGTTCAATTGAAGTTCCTCTTGAGCTGTTATTGGACTGTAAGGAGAGAACGCAAAACTTTTTCTACTTTCTTGCACGCTGCTGGGTCTGACTTGAACAGAACAAGGACTTGTGTAAGCTCACAGTTTGCATAAATAATTGGATCTGAAAGTGTTCATTATATTTGCACACTTTCAAAGGACAGTGTGCAAATATATTTTTGTTAGTTTTTTAACCCTGTTTATCATATTTAAAGTACACAGTGCTCAAAACAATCTACTGTCAAAGACATCTAGTATATATATTTTCCTATAGCTGTGTTGAAGTTGGTTGCAAACTTTCAGCTGATTGGAAAGTTTGTAGAGAAAAGTTAGGATTCTGGTAAATAGAAATGGCAACTGCCGTTGACATGTACATGCTAAAATATGCTGTGTGCCGTATTTACTGTGTCTACTCGATCTACTCTAACATGCAGGGTGTCTTTGCATTCACAGCTCATTCTATGTATGGAAGGACTGGAAATAAATAAAAACACACTATTCACTGTGATGAATTAGTTGCTCAACCACTGCAAATGTACCTGGAAGCAAAAACATTTTTTGGATAGAGTGGATGAACATGCACACGTGATATCATCAGATACACTTAGAGCATAGTGTTTAGTGGGAAACTATGTAATTAGAAAAAAAATCACTTTGTGACTCTTAAAATTGCAAAATGTGTCTAAAGATTGTCTGTGAATAACATCCAAGAACCTGAGGGAGGAAGCTGTGTGTGATTGTGTGTGTGTGGTATCTGGCATGGTCAGTGCCATTGCGTTATTTACATCCCAGAGGCTCCAGCTGTTTTTCTCTCTGCAGGAATGAACTTGAGAGTAGAGATGTCCCTGTGCAAAATAAAACCGGGAACAAAATGCTCGCTTATGTGTGTTTCAGGGGAGTCCAGTGTGTGTGTGTTCATGTTCTCAGTCGGTTTGTGTGCAGGGATTTTGTCCACGTGGAAACATATTGCAAAATGCCTTATTTTGCCGCAGTCTTGCCAATGCCGAAACGCCCTGCAAACGGTACATGCACAATGTTCACACACTAGGAAGCTTTCCCAGAAAATGACAGAAGATCAGATATGGAGTGATATGTTAAGAAAACATTTGTACTGCACCGAAATGAATAGAAAAAGAAAAAAAGAACGGAAGGTTGCAAACGGAAAAAGCTGCATAAATGTGGATTTTTCACTGTAGCGGTCATTTGTTTTTAGCTGCAGCCAGAGAATATGTATGCTTATTTTTTCGTATCCCTAGTGGAAACAACAGGCCGGCCTTCTCAGAGCTTCATGAGTATAATAATGCTGTGTGCAAACTCCTCAGGCCAGCACAAGCTTCATTCCATTAAGGGTGCACTCCAGTTCATTGCAGCCTGAGATCAAAATTAAAACTTTATCAACCCTGCTTGTAATTGCCCGAGCACATCTCAGGTCATTTCATTTAAACTTATCCGACTAATTTAACCAAGCCTGCACACTAAAATAAGTCAGTGACATTACAGATTAAGGCACTCGAACAGCCACTTGAGCATGAACGGCATCAGCAGCTGACTGTTAAGAGGTTGTAGGTTATTATAAAAGCCCGTTTGTGAACAAAATAGGTAATTTGCAAAGAAAGGGTTAGAAAAGGTTTTCTTACATAGTACAATAGTCATAAGTAATGGCTAAAAATCTGTTTTTCTAATCTTGTCTCTGCATTTTAATGATAATACACTCACAGGAGTTACTGCTGAAACCTTGGGGCCACATCACTATAGCAACATTAGATCAAAGCAAAACCTCTCTTCGGATAAATTGTGATAACCTTAAATCTCAGTGGGGCTGGAATAAAATATTTTTTCCCTCTTTCAGCGATCATTTGCAAGTAGTTGCAACAATCAATGAGCGTCCATCACCCTCCACCATTTAGTTCACAAGGCGGATCCCCGGGTCATCTGTTGGGAGGCAACTTGTCTCCAAACAAACGTGGTCCAACTCCAACTAACTGCGGTCACTCTCAAACAGATTGGCAAAGGTTTTCAAATAATTACAATCTAGTTTATAAATGGAGACAAGCTATAAATAGACACATCGCTATCAGTCTGAGTAACTTGTATGTCATGCATGTCTTGCAAACTTGTTGAGCGTCTATGTCAATTTTTGGAAGAATTTCAGAACTTCTTTTCAAATTTATGACATTCTAGCTGGATTCTCAATGCAAGTAATTAATATAAATTTCTGCTTTATGTGAATTTCTGTGTAAATGTAGAGCAACAGATTTGCAGATATATCACAGTTAACACTGTGTTGTTACAAATTGCGTGTAAAAGCATAAGTAATTTAAGCAGGCTGACTCTGGCTGTGCTGCTGTCCTGATGCACCAAAGTCACTTTGAGGACAGCAACTGGTCCCCATCTTCGAAGTAACTATTTCAAAGGTAACAAGAAGGCAAGTTTTTTTTTCACACGGTCATAGTAATTTTGTTCTTGTTCTTGCATTTTCTGCAATCACTGTTTTCCCTAGTGTGACTGTAGCATAAGGTGATTGGTTTTTTTTTTTTTTACCTCAAACTTCTCATACTGCTGAACATTAGAGTGTTTCTCCAGATCAGTTAAATGGCAATTCTTAGTAATTAATACTCATCAAAGGTCCAAACTAACAAAAATAATCGTCAGCACAGGCTAGAGATGGAGCACATCGGTCAGTCCTGGTGTACTGTGAGGAAACAAAACTTCTTCAGGCATTGCACCGTTTACTTACCTGTTTGTTTCTCCTAGCCTAATCATTTGTCTACTAAATGACCCCTGGAGGGCTTTGAACTCACAACACCGATCATGCGATTTCTCTGTGTATTTTCTCATCATTGCTTTTGGCCTTGAGTTTGCTGAAAACAGATGCAGTGTTTCACAGCTCTCCTTCTTTCAGCGATTATCTGTGTTTCAACTCTGCGCTCGGCAGGATCTCATCCCTGACTCATTTAAAAGCTATTAGGAGGGCAGGGACTGACACGGGAACATTTATTTTCCTTTAGCGGTAGATCTAAGGAGGAGTGCTCGTAATAAGCGCTGTCTCACAATTAAACAATGTGATCCTAAGTGACATTTTTAACTGGAACCACACATTTCCACTCTCACATTGTGTTTTTATGTAGCATTCTGGGCTGTGCTTGGGGGAGGCCCAGCAGCAAACACAACACAAGAGCTGTCAGTCACACTGAGGTTAAATAAACCGAGCGGATATTGGTGCCAAAGCCAACAGGCGGGGCAGCAGTATGGTGAGGAAAAAAAAACAGAAAAATCGACTTTAAAGAGTACACAGCAAATCAAGTGTGGCCAAACACACAGAGACAAATCCTGCCATTTCCACTGTGTTTTACCTCTTTCCACTCTTCAAAGAGCTCCTGAAGGGCTGCGGTTTTCATACCGGAATCTCAAAACAAATGTTAAAAATCAGTTACAACATCCGGCGTTCAAACAATAAGCTGAGAGAGTCCTCGTGGATGGGACTGTGTGTACAAAATGTCTGAGTTTTGAAAGGAAGACTGGGCACTGGGTCTTTCTGTGCATTGCATCACAGAGTTTTCATTCAGAATAGCAAGTCACCGTGATCCTGAAATTTGGACAGATGCAGATAAATGTTTGGAAGGCCCCAGGGCGCCAGCCAACAGTTGGATGTTTGGGATGGACTGCCAGGGTTAATTTACCTAACTGAGTTCCTGTTGTTATGCCAGTTTTTGTGATTGAACTGAAATGAACGTGTATTTGTTTGTAATCCGGTCCCAAACCAATGTCAAGAGCAGAAAATAGGCGTGAATATCCTTTAATGTCACTACAGGCAGGACTTTTCTCTGAGGCCAAGACTCTCTCTCGAGGGGTTCCACATATAACGCATTACATGCATTACATGCATTACATGCAAGCACACAATTGTAAACTTCACTGTAACCGGTGCACTCCGTTTGCCAGGCACTGGTGCCAGTCAAAATATGCCTGAAACACAGGATATAGATTTTCTGTCATTTGCGGGAATAAACATTTTAACCAATCAATACCGGAAAGCGACTTTCCATTCTCCCCATCTGTGACTAAGACAGAAAAGAAATAGTGGAAAAGATTAAGCAGACCCCCTCCCCCCCCTTTAAAAAAAAGGAGAACAAGGAATGAGCAGGAGGGGGGTAGAAGGAATAAAACAGAAAGACAGCGTTGTGCAGCCGAAGAATAAAAAATGTTTAAACTTGGAAAGAGAAAAGAAACTTAGCTAAAACCTTCCAGCAAAAGTTTGATGAAAAAGGGGGATCTGTGCTGAAGGAAAGAGTTGCTTGCGCTTCAGTAGTGTGAGGCTGACCTTTGCCCGCAGGTGTTGAGATGTTTCTTCACTCCTCTGCTGTCTTTGAGAAAATATCAGTCCACTCTCGCCGCTCCTCCTTCTGTCTACACTCCTGAGATTTTAACTAAGCCTCAGTGTCAATCAGGATGTTATCGCTCATTTATGGCCTTATGAGCAGGCTATGATGGATCTACTGTACACCTCTTATACACACGCACACACACATACACACAGAATCATGCTTACAAATAGACACTAATACAAAAAGCTGTGCGCACCAAAAAAAAAAAGATGAAAGAAAATAATATTCATTAGATCGCTGAAAACTTTGAAAACTGGATGTGCACAGGAATCATTTTACTTATTTATGATGAAGCACCGCACATTTTCCTGAAAATATAAATGGGTAACTCTTTGCACTTTGAAAGCTTACAAGGAACAACCCTTTGATGGTTTCTGTCTTACTGAACAAAATGACTGGGTGTGCATCTGAACTGTGCAGCTACCCTTGGAAAAACCCATAAAACTATTTAAATGGTCATCAAACCACATATTTATTGATACATACTGAGGTGTCAAAGCTCATGATTAATGGTGCTGGGAAGGTTGTCAAATGCCGTCTTTATAGGGGAGAGAGTTAGGAAGAAAATTTGAAATCAAGCTGTTTAGTTGATAACTGATGTTACAATTCTTCATAAATTAATACCAATTTTAAGAAAACCATGACATTTTTGGTAAGCAACAAACTTTTAATGTTTCATTGTTAGATGGTTGCAGATGTTTCAATGTTTCATTGTTCTGTTACTGAACTGTTGTAATGAAGAAGGGTCGATTAGTTACGGACAATTTTGCATTAGTCACGCATCCATCAAACAATTCTTTGGCTAAATAAAGACTAATGTTTATAGAAATTGTCAACTTTATGCAAACAATGGTTCGGTTATGGTTTGGGTGGTATGTGAACAAAACAGCCTACCAGCTGAATATTCAGTGTCAGATTAACCTTCATGGTTCAGTTTTGAACTTTATGCTGCCTACAGCTTTCTGTTCACTGCCCACTCTGCACTGCATGGGAGACAGAAAAAGTCAATATACATATACACTCACTGGACACTTTATTAGGCACACCTTGCTTGCACTGGGCCTTCTATGTTCATGGCATGGATTCAACAAGGTTCTGTTAACATGTTGGTCAGGATAGCATCGCACAGTTTGTTGCTCACATCCCAAAGGTCAGATTGAGATTTGGTAACTACTTTTTGTATTAAAACTTACTTTCCATTCTGTTATTCAGTCAAAACAAATGCACGGACATTTAGAGAAACACATAAAACAAATTTCAAGACCACTGCTCCAAACTCAAAGAGCATCCTATACCAACTCAAGTTCTTCCTGTTGCTATTCTCAGCAATGCTTACAAGAGAGACAGCGAGAGATCATATATCACGAACAAGCAAAGACACAGCACAGACTGAGCTTATAAACAACATGAACTGTAGCTACAAACAGCAGCCTGGAGTCAAAGGCAACGTTCTTTTTATCAGCTTCATCAGATATTTTATTCATCTCTTGGAGACAGTTAAAACTTCACTCAGCAGGCTTTGAATAATAATCAGCTTTGGAAAAAAAATATACATGTAAAAAGTACATAAATCCATTTTAATTAGTATGTAAATAAGCTAATGTAAACACACAATTAGCATCAAGATAAGATATAAATTCCTCTTTCGCAGCAGCACCGCTGGAGACTTTGTGGATCAGGGACTTCACTTCTTGTCGTCTCGCTTTGTTTACACACACATCATGCAGTATTAAACATCAATGCGGTTTTATTCGCCCTGAAGCAAAACAACTCAACTCAAAGCAAGTCAAAGATGCTGGTGCCAGACTCTACACATCATTATTGTCTTTTATATTTTTAGGAAGACATCATATTGCACTATTGAGTAATCTCTCACTTGTAACAGCATAATACACATATGTTACTTCTTGCCGATGAGCCCGTGTATCTAAATGAACTAGCTGCAGTCCCACATACAGTACAAGATAAATACATATCATGGTAGAATTTACATACTGAAATGAACTGTACATCATTAGATGGCTGTTTTTCTGAGGTTATCTTGATAAGTAGCTTGACTGAGGCTCAAGTATCCAAAGTGAAGGCTACTCTCGCCTGTGATCATTTATTTGTATCTCAATGGACATCTTTTTACAATAATATATTTAATGCTTTATCATAATCTTTACTCCCCTGCCAGTCTTCATGAATCAGTCATTCCTGAAAGGACAAGCTACATTAAGTATAAAATAGCACACAGTGCTTCTTCTTGAAAATAAATGCAATACTTTTGATCAGTCTACACCAACACACATACCCACATGCTGACACACTTAAAACAAAACCAAAAGCCTACATCCATGCTAGCTGCTTTGTGGGGCTGTGCTTAGCAGCACTTAATTGGTTAAACTAATTGTTAGCATGGTAACATTCCCACAATGGCAGCGCTTAATTTTTAGTAGGTAAAATTCTTACCATAGTAACATCTAGTAATTTACACTAATCTCAAAGAAGAGATGATGTTGATGGGATTTCTGTTAGTGTTTTCTCATGAACAAATTGAAACCCGATGATGGTGCTAAATAAAAAGTTCATTTATCACAAAGTTATTACGATTCATCTTGCGGGGAACATGTTACTTGATGGAAATCTGACATTTCTTGAAGCTGTTCATTCAAAGTCATATTGTGACAGTGGACCAACTGCTGGAGGATCAGTAAAGCTATAAACCAGCATCTCCAAGCTATTTGTGCTGATTCCTATGTTTTACATATTATGATAAAATTAAAAAAAAAACATCTGTTCCTTACCAGGTTTTAAAATTATATAAATACAACCTCACAACAACACATGACATATTACACTGTGACTTTTTTTTATTTAAACACATTGCTTTCACATTGCTTCATTTGACTGAGATGAGCTCTCTTAATAATGTCAATTGGGTTAAAGTCTAGACTTGGACTGAATCATTGCAACACCTGCATTCTTTTCTTTTTCAGCCATTCTGTTGCAACGAGCTGTAGTGGGAATCAGATTTGAACAAGCTTTAGATGTCCACCAGACAGCCTGTCCAACATTTGAATCTAAAATATTTTTGATATACAGAAGAGTTCATTGTCAAGCTCATGCAAGGAGCTACAAGCTCCTCCACTGTATTAGCATGAAGTGTTCCTCTTTGGTGTCATGTATCCAAAGGACATTGTTCCGGAAGTCTTTGTTCAGATCCAGCTTTGCAAGCCTAAGCCATGCAAATTAATTTTAGAGAGAAGAGTGTTTCTCTTGGAAACCTTTCTAAATAAGTCATATTTGTTCAGCCTTTGTCTAATTTTGCTCTCCTGAACTTTAACATATAACCTGCTAACTGATGGCTGTAGTGTCCACGGTGTAACTCTTTGGTTTTCTGTAGTTTCTCTGAGTTTGGAGTAGATTTGCTGGGATCTCCAATCCTGAAAAGACTGGACGCAGTCTTTAATGCTTTCTGCTTGTGAAAAATCTAGTAGTGTGGTGGACTTGAAATAGTTTGATAATGGCCTTATAATGCTTCCCACATTGATTGGCAGCAGCAATTACTTCTTTAAGATCATTGCTGATGTCTTTCCTTCTTGGCATTGCATTAACACATACCTGAATGCTTCAGACCATCAAATTACCAAAGCATCTGCTGCTCACACTCACTGATGATCCATTAATCATGTACATTTGATTAGCAGCGCCTGGATCTGAATTCTCTAAATTCTATGCAAGCAGTGTGTTTTTTACACAGTCTGCATTAAGGATTCGTTTCTGTTAATAAACGATAACACTGCAAAGTATCTCATGTATTTCTGTTGATCTGAGGTTGTATTTTGTTTATTTTAAGACCTGCTAAAGATAAAACTTTCCATTATATCCTGACATGTGAAAGAGTGTGTACTTTCTTTTTCACATGAATGCACTGCCAAAGACTAAATGAGAGCATATGGCACTGAAGTTCTACTGGGAGTTGAGAAACAGCAAACAGAATGACAGAACTGGGAATCAGAGGGTGAATGGACCCTTTGTCAGGCTACCTTTCTGTGAACTGACAAATTGTATTCCCCTAAAAAAGAGTCATTACGCCCATCACTAGTCTGTAATCCCACACATCAACAATATTTCTCCAAGAACCTTAGCCTATGTATTTTGCACATTTCCCCTGAGGATCTTTAACACCACCCTTTTCTATACCTCCTACACAAAGTGACAATATTGTTATAATTACCAACAATATCATAAGCTACATTGTTAAGACTTGTTACATATGATACTATACAGCAGCTCATGCTGTACAGACAATATGATCGTCCACTTCATACCCAGATGTAGACAGATTGTGAAAACATGTATTGATACTGGACATCAGTGATTTTGGGGGGGAAGAAAACGGCTTCATGGCAATCCCCATCCACTTGTTTGTGTGGGTAAACATTGACAAGCATGTACACTACAATTCATCTCCTGTACAGTTCATTTACACTCTGTTGCACGCTCTTTTTTTTCTTTATACATTGTCTAATGAGCTCCTTTATCTGCTTATTGGCAGTGCTGAGTCATTTTAAAGTCGGTCAGTCCATCAGCCCCAGGCTGGATATCCATTCCACCGGGATGAAACATGAAGGCATCAAAAAGCACAGGAGGCTTAACACAAGCACAACTGAACTCAACTGCTGTGGTAAAAATCTCAATCAACTAGTTAATAAAATGTTATGTTGAAATTAAACTACTTACTGGAATGAAGCCAACATGTAATCGTTTCTGCAATGACTGTCCAGTGAGTAGTTTAACTCGACATGGCTCTGGTAAAAGTGCACAAGGCTATTTTCATGCAAGGGCTCTCTGCAGAGCAGTTTGCTTCTAGCCCACTGTGTTAAAGAATAATCAAAACCTACACTCTCATGGTTTATTAAGAGACATGTATGTGTTTATAAAGAAAAAGACTGAAGACGGTAAAAGATGAAGACCAACACTATGGTAACAAGAAATAAAAAATGAAAATGAACCATGGTCAAGACAAACTTTTCTGAAAGGCCTTGTCTTTTGTTGGAAGATGTGTGGGCATTGTTGCTGTCTGTTGGTAATCAGCACGCTCGCTGCATCATATAATCTTAACAGCCTCCACATATACACACACATACATATTAGTCATACAGTGTTTCATTTCCCAAAGGAGAAATAGTTTTTATGTACTGTACTGTATTGTATTGTACTGTAGTGTGATATTGTGAATAAGTAGTTAGATATATGTGATAGATGATAGATGGATATTTTGTGATCAAACATAATGTTTTTTTTTTCATCTAAAAGGATCTACAACTTATTCTTTATCTTACAAAATGAAAGATTCTTTATTCTGCATCAACATATTGCGGTATATATCAGTTAAAGTCAATAGACAGTTAAATCCTTGCTTTTGTGTGGGTTTAGGTATTGAACTTTGTGTGGCTGGCCCTCTTGCACACATCTATACTCACATATAAATATGCATTTGCCAATAACATCCACGCTGTTTCATGCGTGGAATAGGTGTAGAGATAAAAGACCGATGTCTTTCGATTTCTTCTTCTTCTGAACCAAACATGTCAGACTGACTCTGTGGCTTCTTGAAGGTACTGACTGCTCCTTGATGTTTGATATTTTCTTAATGATCTCTGCTAAGCTGGAATAGATGGCACAGCCTTCAAGGGCCTGAGGTTTGCTTGTTTTCTAAATGAGCTGAGGCGTAGGTCGACTCCAACTCCAAGTCTACCAGAATCTGCTTGCATGCAGGGATGCCTGGCCACAATCTACAGGTGTGTATTTGTGTATATGCACGTGTGCACTCCCCCTCGCTGATATGTGTTTTTTCGAGTGCAGTAAATGACATGGCTGTGTGCATTTCTATGTGCAAGTATGTGAATATGCAGGAAGCGAGAAAAAGAAAGTGAGAAACAGAGTGTGTTTGAGCGTGACCTACAGCTGTGATGTGGATCACTTGTATCCACTGTCGTGAATGAGAAGAATAAATAATTTAAGGTGCTCTCTGTTAGCCTTTTGATATTGAAGACAAGTGTATGTGAACGGAGCAGAGAACCAAGCAGTCCCACAGCTGGCCTAATTTGCCAGGATTCAAAGCAGCTTGACCTAAACCACCTGAGATGAATGCAGTCATTTAGCAAGAACAGACAGCTACGAGTCTCCCAGTAAGGTGGCCGTTTCCTTCCTTTCAGATTTCAGAGATGTTGCATAAAACCTAAGATTGCAATGTCAGTGCGTAAACAGACAGGCAAAGTGACCTCTCCTTGAAAAAGTCCCGCACTGAAATTTAGTCTAAGGAAGTGAAAGTCTGGAGAATCAGCTACAATGCAGAGATGGTGTGACTCATAGTAGCAGATGTGATGGAATGAGAGAAAATGTGAATGGAAAAAAATTAGAGCAAAAACAATCAATGAGTATTTTAGTTTGATAGCTCTTGGAGAGTGTAGGATATTTCTTCACAGAAACACTGGTTGCTGTGTCTAACGATTAGAGTATGTGTGGGTTCTGTTGCACTTGTGTTTATTCTGTTTTGTATCCAGGGTGTGTTTTTAAGCCAGCTCTTCTTCTGGAGGTGATACATTGTCGGCCCCAGCAGAGAGAGCATGAATGTTGTGAATCACCTCCTCGCCTTTTTCTTTCCACTCGTCCTAGAACCTGGTGCTCTCATGTTTCAGCATGCGGATGTTGGTAAGTGTGCCGCTGCCCCTGTGGTGGTATCCGTAAGCCTGGTGCTGCCCCTCCAGTCACCGAGCGCTGCTGCCCGACGACATGGTGCTGCTGGGACTGGAGCCGCCCGAGCCCCGGTCTTCAAACACGCTGATCTCAAGCTGAAAATTTGATGAATGTCAAGGATCACTGTGCGTTGTCGACAAATTCCATGAGAATTTAAAGCAATACAGTTTTAGAAACCTCAGTAAGGTATTTCAACTATTTGGGCAAGCCTAATCTGACCTTACTGTTCTTCAGTGTAACCAGTGGTTTGTTCTAAATCCTCTGTATTTCCATTCATGAAGGGTTCTCTTGTTTGCAGACTCCTCCAGGGTCTCCTTGACTTGAGTATATGCAAAGAAATTGTTTTTCTTAATTGTGGAAAGAACTCTGCAATCTTATAATTTAGTAGCCTTCTGTGGCCTTCTCCTGTTACTGTGCTGGCCAGTGGATTCCTACTTTTAAAGAAGAAATTTTGCTTTCTCTCTTTTTCATCTAAATAAGAGCTTCCTTCTCTTGCATAAACTTGCAGCTCTTTGCACATCAGCGAGTTCCAGCGAATGGCTACCAAACGCAAGTTCAACAGCAGATTTTTTATCTGCTTAGATTGTCATAAAATAACAAGGGAACATCTGGCTGTCGAACTGCTTGTCAGGAAATAGTGAAATTCCTTTTGAGCCACGGAGAATGGGAGACAATGTTTAAAAATTGCTTTTAATTCCTCAATGATTAAAAAATAATTTTGGATTAATGCTTTTTAGTTAAAGCAGAAACTCTGTTCCCTGATCACATCTCGTTGGTTTACTTAAAATCCACTGTGGTGGCGTAGCGACAAAAAGCGTGTCACTGTCCAGAAATGTATGAATCAAAGTTATCTGAACTCTCTGCTTACATTCATAAACCTTGGCAATGGTCTTACTGGACAGCGCTACTCTACTATCATCATATGTTGATTTTACTGTTAATAAAATGTTCACGAGGCTAAACTTAATTACTTGTGAAGGCTTCTACTATTCTATTGAAAAGGTCTGAGAGAGTCGAGCCTATGGGCTCTGCTCTTTAACGTAGTCAGTGGATTTTAATGGTGGCCTGTCTCTGGCACATGTCTATATTATGTTTACTTGTGTTTGTAGCTACATGAAGGTGAGGAAGCTGAGCCCCCAATAGGAGGACAGCTTCTGAACCATATGAACTCACATCAGAGTCTCTTGAAAAATTCCTTCTGCATCAAGGAAACCTGAGCTTATTAAAAAAACAACATAACAATAGTCTGCCATGAATTTCTTCCTTCTGGGTTTCTCCTTCCAGAATTCCTCTTGTCTGCGTCTCCCCCTTTGTTTGTTTATGTATTACTTTCTTTGTAGGCCTCTTCTTTTTTTATTGATAATAACTTTCTCTGTATGTCTCTGGTTTCTTTGCTTCCATTGTTTTCTCTCCTTTGAGACTGTCTGCTTCATTTATTAATATCACCTTTTAATTTCAACCATTCGTTCTCTGCATAACCACTCAGTTTTTTAAGAGTTGGTAATGGGTTGACCTGCAGCCCGTTTTTTTTCTTTTGGCCAGTGTGAGCCAGGACTGTGTGATGGTCTATTGGACACATTCACTCTCTCCATGTGTCTGTGCTGGTATCAGTCCAGCTGTCAATAGGAGATATAGTGCTGTCCACTCCTGAAAATGTAGCAATTCATCTATAAAAGAACAGCCACATGAAAACTTGGAAATCATTAAAAAGGCCTTGATATAAAACCTTACTTCCGATTGACCACATTAATATTATTTATTTTTTATTTTTTGCATATTTCCATATCAAAGCACAGAACTTTCTGTTTTTTTCAGAGCTTTTTTAAGATTTACTCACGATAAAAAATAGTTGGCCAGTGAACAGCTACTCTGCAGCAGCTGGACTTTAAGTGTCTTGTTCATGGGCATCCTGATGGTAATTTATGAAGAAGTTTTTTTCATCCATTTGCTGTATCAAATCCAGATGTTTCCACCAGTTTCAATAATTCTAACCAATGTCTTTCCACGCCATCTTTAAACTGTCTTATAAATGTTGAGCTGTCCTGTCTGGGCCTTTATCCACTATCTATTTGTTGCACAGAGATTACAGTAACATATGGGAGGAGGATACAACCCTCATTCCTCTCTCTATGGGGTCTGTGAGCAGCAGACCTCGAGGAGCGTAGATCTTCTCATTCTGCTCCTGGATGAAACCTGATATCTTCCTCAGCACCTGGAATAAAACAAGGGGGGCAGAGAGGTATTAGAACAAGTACCTCTGGAGGTAATCCAGATTTGATTAGAAATGTTGGAGGTAAGATGAAAACCCAAGCAGGACAATCAGGCTCCCATAAAAAAATAATAAGAGAGAACTGAGATTCAGTACCTGCCGACTACTTTTTCAGGATGCGTTCTGTGTTACACACAGTATCTAAAAGAGGTTAAATTGGCCCAAGTTACTTTAACCTCTGGAAAATATGAAAAATGAAAGAAACTAATTTGCAGTCCTTCTGCGCATACTTAGCATGCGGCATATGATACCAGCTCTGTCAAATCATTGCCCGGCTTTATTTTTCCTGCGCATTAAAATCCAAACTTAAAGTAATTCCATTATGCTCCAAGTATAGCAGCTATTTTTTCTGCATACTTCCAAGCCACTCTTGTCAAGCAGGGCTGCATGAATTGAATTACTAAAAATGATGAGTATGAGCTTTTCTCCTTTTGAACTTTTCCATTTGGAAGCTTGAGTTCCTAATTCAAAAGATGGCTCTCTTTAAGGCTAAATGTCATGCCTTGGTTAACTGTCAAGGCTCTAAAATATGAAGTGGACAGTTTATTTAGATTGCACTGGCAGTGGACGTTTTTCTCGGTTTTGCAAGTGAGCATTGCAGCAATTGTGCGAAAACCACAGAGCAGCAGTGGAGTGAATCTGTGCGGTTCAGGCCATGCTTTGGCACACAGATTCAAACAAGCATGTCTGTATACATTCTCTCATTCATTGCAACTGCACACAAACCGTTTTATCTGGAGATTTAAATAGTGTCTACGAAACCTAAGAACTGAATGTTGTTCCAGCGATGCTGCTGATAGCAACCAAATGTCTGCAGACTGATGGCCAGTAATGCCAAACAGGCAGCTATTAGCTAAAGTGGGTTTATTAAAACGGCTTATTCAGCCTTAGCTATGCCTCCATGGGAACAAATCATGCTGATGTACCACGGCTCGCCTAAACTCTGCCAGTGTCATGTCGGCCAGCGCCGTGTTCCTCTGCGCCTCATTTGCACCCACAGAGCTGCTGCCGCTACACATGTTAACCAATATGTACAACTCTATTAAAGAGAGCTTATTTAAATTCTTTATGATTTTCTAGAGATGCTGTACATTTCCTCAGGTCTGAGGAGGAGACAGGAGAAGCATTTGCTTGCTGTCACTTCTTCCAACTACTACCTGCCCTGTTTTAACAAGGGCATTGCACAGATTTTATAATATTTGGCAGGGTGCAGACTCTCTCATGTCCAGCGCCGCTGATTCATACATTTGCATTCCTAAGTACAGCTCTGCTGCGTAATGACTTCAAAGTTTCCGAGCTGCAGTAAGTGTGAAAATGGTTCTATTGAACATGACAAATTCACATCCTTTTTTGTGAGTTAGCTAAAGGTCATTGCAGCACACAGCCTAGAGTGATTAAAACAACACTAAGCAGTTCACTGAGCACTGTGCTCCTCTAGTATGTCAAAGGCCTCGTACAGCTGCAGGCCCAGCTGCTTATACAGTGACCCTTGTTAGTGGAGACTAAACAACAGAAGAAATATTTTTTGTCTCCCATTGGAAAAAGATACTTTTGCAATAAAATGTCTGGAAAACATTAGGACATTGCGTTTCTCAGTGAAAAGACATTGAACTGAAGCCATCGAAATTCAGCGGTTTTGCCCCGCTGTTCTTTAAATCAGTGAGATCCATGTGAAATAGCGCTGAGCACAAAGCAATCAATATTTGACTTATAAGATATCCACACATTTCTTAACGCAACACAAACCATTTCCTTTGCTACAAACTCCAAGAGAATCAAGCATCGCGGTAAAGTGGCAGAGAGACACACAGAGGAGCCCTGACTAATCAGTTTACTGTGGTTCAGGGAAAAGGCCAATCCTTTCACTTGCTAGCGAGCTCTCGGGGCAGCTCAATCCTCTTCGGTGTAACAATATGACAGTCAAGTATCCAAGCTGTGCCTGTGTTGTACTGGCATGTGTGTGTGACAGCCCTTCTGGGAAAAGCTTTGTGTTTGTGACAGCATACGCACAATCCCCTGCTTATGCTACCAAATGCAATATAAAGGATTTTATGCGTGTGTACACGTGTCCTTTAGAAACCCATACTGTATGTTCAGCTACATTCTTGTCAATAATACGAGAAGAAAAGTAGAAGATGGAGGGCACAAAGTGTGCGTGAGGGAAGTCTTGTGAATGTTTTTAAGCACATGTATCTGTTCTGACATGCTGGGAGCAATCAGTGTCCTTTGATGGTGTGAGATGTAAGCATCAAGGGACTCCAGTGAATCTGCACCCTGATCTGCGAGCGCTGTGTTGTGGGACTCGGACGCACATGAACATGCAGCATCAACTTGGGTGGGTACACTTTATCATCATCAGTCATAATGTTGTTCAGCCAAGATGGCTGAGTTAAGCAAGCAAATAAACAACTCTCCTGAGAAACTGATAGAATCTCAGGATCTTAATGGGGCAGCACCCAGCTGACAGGGAGATGAAAAGAGCCTCAGACTAGGCAATTTCTGCATGGCTTCAACTCAGCAATAAGTCCTTTTGTACTTCTTGGTCAAGCTCCTAGTACCTCTGTAGTCCTTTGATGAAGAAATGTTTACAAAATGCAACAAGACAAGGGAGATGACAGAGATCAGAACAGAGAGGAATGCTGAAAACTTCATGCAGCTCCAGTTCTATCTAAAACGGCGGCAGGTACACACAAAATCACAAGAGGATTAATCACGCTCGCTGTGTCTGCCTATGCGATTGTGTTATGTGTGCGTGTGTTCCTGTTCCATTTCAGTGACTAACAAGCAGCTACACAGCCATGCGGAGCTTTAACCACCTGCCCTTTGTCAAGATGGGCATCTTGGTTGCACTTTAGGTAAGCGTCAGCTGGCGTGCCATGCCTTATCCAGCGGCACACTTGTGTGGCCTTTAGAGTGAGTTTTAAACTCTGGTGGACAGACAGAGAGAGAGATTGCATCTCCTAGAACTGTGTGTTCTCTTCTTAAAGAGCCGGATGAGGCTTAATGTTTTTTTGAGTGGGAAAGAGTTGAATTCAATAGAAATTGACACATAGGGGAGAAAATAACACTTCTGTAAGTGGAGTTCATCACTGCGCATTAAAAGGTTCACCTTCATCTCACATTCTGAGATTCTGGGCTCTGTCCACTGAGGCATTTGTGTGCATCTTTTGCTGTTTTTTTTTCCAGGTTCCTCAGTCTCCTACCAAGGCATGTGGGATACATGCAGCATGAATAATGTGCTATCACTTGTGAACTGTGTTTGGGTTTGCATGGCGTTTTCGCTATGCCTGTGCAATACCCAGAGAAGAGAGTGCAATACAGGTTGTCTTGTGCTGCAATTTAAAGACACATTCTAGTTCAAGATGTGGTTTCAGGTTTGAAAAGGGAGACAGTATAGAAGATGCTCACTGAACTCCATACAAAACATAAAAAAAGCTCATAAAGTGAGCCTGAGGAATAGATGGTGGCTGAATCGAAGTGTGCAGTAAACTGAAAGAATAGTTGTATTTACAGCAAAAGTCTGTTGTTTTACCTACAGCAGATCTTAAAGACGGTTAATGGAATAATAATTGTATTTTTATATTTAAAAGGCTAATTTTAACTCATTTTAAAGCTACAACCTCTATAAAAAGCAGCAAACTGAAACAAAAACATGACAAGTTAAAAAAAGTTGTAATTATACAGTATTTCCACCCAAAATGTAATATTTTGTGTACACAGACTTCTTACCTTTTCATATCGCGTTTCCATGCAGAGGAAGATGATATAAGCTGTTGCACAAGCCAGACATCCTTCCAGGTACGACTGACCTCCAATTTTTTCAGCCTCAGCATAATAAGAGTTAAGGGTCTTCACTGTCTCCTCAAGTAAAGTTCGTTCAATCTACTTATAAACAAAAACAAACAAGACCAACAGCGGTTGTAAGAATGGCACAAGTGAAATATGTTCTGTTAGCCTGCCAAATATGCTGCCTGTATTCTACTCAACCCAAAATACAATTTTTTCAAGGAATTAAAACAACAACAACTTTGATTACAGAATATGGAAAACCTGATGAACAATTACTTACAACTACGACAGCAATCTATTTTTTCCATCTGACAGAGAACATTTGCAGTAAATCGATGACAACTGATGTTTTCTTGCTCTGCTCTTTGTGTGGATTGTCTGCTTCATATGCAAATTGCTAGACAAATATGCAATAATACTCCTACATAACACCATTCACTAATTAAAGCAAGGTAAAGAAAGTAAAATTGCTCTTTAAATAAATAGCACATTCTCTCACACAGTCTTTAACTAAAGGCATCTACTTTTGCTTTAACTGTTCACACATGCATACATTCAGGAGATGTTAGATGGGGAGAAACATATATATTACTTATACAACAGACATTTGCATCCATTTGTGGATGATGCCCTTGTAATTATTATGCATAATGTGTGCATTTCAAATATTAGCTTTTTGCTTTTGAGGACCAGCATTACAGGAATTAGACGTTTCCTGGTTTAAGAAGCATCCCATATGCACAAGTGTTGTTTTAAGTGTATCTGCATCTATCTGTGAGTTTAGCTTAATAGACAAGGCTACAGTACGGGCCATCAATCTTTCTGTATCAGTCAAATTAGAGTTATATGAAGTGGGGGGTTATATTGCCTTTGTCTAGGTATTTGAGTTTGTTTGGACTCACCCTGTTGTCAAGCTCTGAGGGAAACTTGGCCTGGAATCGGCACACAGTTCCTTCACTGTAGTCTCTCTGTATAAACACCTTGGTGACCAGCGATGGACTGTGCCGGAGCTCCTGAAGGTTGTGGAACTAAGAAGATACAAAACAGAAGAAAAAAACAGAAAAATTAATTTTGTGGTCAAGAATACATTTCAATTCATGCAGCACTCCATGGCTATAATGATATATATATATATATATATATATATATATATATATATATATATATATATATATATATATATATATATATAAATATAATATATATGTATGTAGAGAGAGAGAAGAGAGAGAGAGAGCTATAACCCAGACTGGTTTGTTTGGAAAGGTTGCCAAGAAGAGGACTCCTCCCTCTAAAACGAACATGGCTGTGCAGCTTAGGTTTGCCAAATTGCATCTGAACGAACCACAAGACATCTGGAACAATGTCCTTTGGAGGTTAGATGACAGCAAAAGCACAAACAGCGTATCTGCACAAACATCTCATACCAACTGTAAAGCACGGTGGTGTAGGGTTGATGATTTGAGCTTGATTTGTAGCAACAGGATCTCCTCCTCTGTCCTCTGATCTCCTTGTTTACCAAAGCATTAGTTAAATGTGAGGCCATCTGTCTGATAGCTAAAGCTTGGCCCAAATTGGGTCGTGCAACAGAAAAGTAATCCCAAGCACAGCAGCAATGGCTGAAACAGAAACGAATCAAGATGTTGCAATGGTCCAGATGAAGTCCAGACCACAATCTGAATTAAATGCTGTAGTGGGACCTTATGAGAGCTGTGTATAAGTGAATACATGCAAACCTCAGTGAAATGAAGCAACACTGTGAGCCAGAATGCCTCTCCTATGATGTGAGAAACTGATAAAGTCACACAAAAGAAAAAGACAAAATACTTCAAGTTCTTGCTGCTAAAGGTGGCGTTACAAGCTGTTGAATCATGGAATGTTCTTAGTTTTTCACAGGACTGCAGAAATGAAAGTGTAAAAAGGCTTTTGCTGCACAATAAAATTTAAGTTTAAGTTTGAAACTCAAGAACTGATGCGATGTTAATGCACCAACATCTTTGACTTAAAGTAGCTGGCACTCTCATTGCTGTCTTCCAACATCAAAATTGATGTTGGAACATTAAAAGACTGGTCTTTACAGCACTTTGTTGGTGAACAGTGTGTTTTACACCCAGTCATTTACATTAAAAGCATACAGCAACAAGCAAGTGGGGCACTGTAAACTTATCCCCTGCTGATCTAAATTACTGTCCTCAAGAGGACGGTAATAAGGGATACGGTAAAAGTATGCAGGAAGAGGAGAAGGCAGGGAGAAGGAGAGAAAATAAGGTGGGAAATATGAGGTTGTGTTCACTTCAGACAGAACCTGAAATCATTTTATAAAAACACTATGGTTCACATGATAAGCTAAACATTTGTGCAGCTGTTAAGTTACAGCAGGGTCACTGTGACCTATTTAATATTATCCAAGTACATGCTTGTACATGCAAGAGGCAGAGAAAGACTTTCCAAAAATTTGGGATACAGTGCATACGTCAATAGAGAATTCAATTTGCAGATCATTTCAACCTTGCAGTTATTTGTAAATAGTAGAAAGAGAACATATTTAATGAAACAGGGTTTTAAAAAGTCTAAAAAATTAACAAAAGTTTAAATGGAGGCCACAAAAGACTGAAAAGATATGTCATGCTAAAAATCTTTGCCAGAAATGAAAGGCAGCAGATGGAAATAGTTAGATTAGTTACAATTTAACAATAGCACTTTTTAGCATGAAACTGCAAGAAAGAATTCATGGATTTCATTATCTGTGGTCAGTAATGTGGTGAATTATAAATCAAGCAAAATGTCACAGACAATACTGAGTAGCTGGAACTACACCTAATTAAAACAGTCATTTTTAATTACATGCTGGTGTTGTAATTACGTGGCTCATGAACACGTCTTAGAACCATGTCAGTGCATCCACAAAGTCAAGTAAAAACACATGTAACCAAGAACAGGAAATATATGAACAATATCCAGGAAACACTACTGTCTTGCCTAAGCCTCTGATAATTTAAAATAAATGAAGGTGAATCCTCAGAGTTAAGAAGGAAAGGGCCCTCCAGCCTGTTATCAGTGCAGACTTCAAAAAGCCTCCCTTAATGATGGCATAGTGCATTAGTTCACATGGCCAGGATAACTTGCACATCTGTACACACTATGAATGCTAAATAATATATTGAGATTTTGGAGCAACAGATGCTGCCTTGTGGACATGTTCTGTCAGCAGGGAAAAAGCACATTCTACTGATATTATATCAGGATGTTTCCACGTCTGCAGTTTGGATCATTGGATCATAAAAAAATGACGAAGACAAACTGTTGAGGAGCTGAAATACATCAAGCAAGAGAGCTTATCTTATAGACCTTAGTATTTAAGTATAGTATTTACTGATAAATAATCAAGTTTAAATTACTTTAAAAACACTGCATCTTTTTGGCAGTAGCCAGACTTAGTACAGTGCCAGCCTTTCATCTCTATATATGGTGTATCACTCACGAGCAGGAATAGCATCCAAGCTGCTATTTTTGTCTGCTAACAGCCACAGTCATCCATCTCACAGCCAGAGCTTTTAATACACCCCCCTCCCCAAAACACACACACAGTTTTGGGGGGGTTTTTTTGCTTTCCCTGTCTCTCGCCACCACGGAGCCCTCACTCTTTCTAGTGTTATCTTCAGGCTATCATGATGAACAACAAGTCCTTCTATTAATAGAAGCAATTTACAGTTTCAGCACAGAGCTGAGCATCATTTATCCAAGTCAGAATCAGCTGGCCACAAGAGAGACTCATTAACATCACGCAGGTCCGTCTTTTATGAACGTGTGCATGTGAATGTGATGCTATACATACATGCACTGCATGCATGTACATACGTTAGATGTCTTTTTAGAATTGAGGACAGTTGGCCCCGTCCTGACCAACAGACCTCTGCCTTACATGTCTGTACTACACATAACTTACACTAAAAGAAGAAAGGCGGGTGTCTCCCTCCCTGTGATTTGCCTAAACACGAGGCTTCACAGTATCCCAATCTTGCACTCCATGCAACTAAAGCCAATGAGATTAAAGCTGGAGAAACACTCTCAAATTCAGTCTCATAAGAGGCTACATATTTAACCTTTTAACCTGTCTTCTTGCCAAAGCTCCTTTAGACTGAGTGACATCAATAATCATAATTATGCCATCAAACTGGGAAATCAGACTAATAAAACATCTTTGTCAAACTCATTGCCATATTTCATGATATTTCATGACCTGCATTTACTAGACCAAGTCTGCTGGTGGAGATGAGTATCAGGGGTGATTTTTAATAAAAGGACAGAAGGGAGAGTGAGAGGGGAAATTTAAAAGATGGTAGTGAGATCTGCTTTTATGAATGGTTTCAATTGAGTATCAGTAACGAAATAACAAGAGGCAAAGCTGGAGGTGTCAGAGTTGAAAATGCTAAGATTTTCAGGGTGACCGTTAAGACACCACCAGTAGGCAACGGGTGAAGTGTCTTGCCCAAGGACACAACGACCGAGACTGTCCAAGCCGGGGCTCGAACCGGCAATCTTCCGATTACAAGGCGAACTCCCAACTCTTGAGCCACGATCGCCCACAAAAAAAATATATATATATATATACAGAGGAAAGACCACAGAGAAGATTCATGGATGCAGGGAAGGAGGGTTAGTGTGACAGAAGAGGATGCTAGGGGTAGGGTGAGATGAGGGCTGATGACTTACTCACATAAGTTACTGTGTTGACCCCTAAAGACAGCAGCCAAAAAAAAGTAAGAGTACCTGGACCAGTAGGACCCGGGTGGATGGGTCTGACTCGTTATCTATGACAGTTTTATACTCACTCGAGAGTTACTTCCAGTTGATGAAACAGCTATTTTTCATTTATGCTATCGAACACAAAAAAACTTTCTTAGTCTTCTGGTGGTGATATGAAATGCTGAAGTATCTCTGTATATTTATACCTTGAAGACAAACAGGTTTATCTTGGTAGACTGCTTGTGTTTCCTCTATGGGAGCCAAGGGTTCAAATCTGGTCTATTCCTGCATTTAAATATAGTGCAGAAGCAGACACCAATGTTAAAGTGTGATACTGATCACACAGGCCTCTGTTAAGAAGTTCTGCATGGTGCTACGCTGTCTGACTTCTAGTTCCACCCACCCATCTTTAACGTTATGTTTAATATTTTTTTGTCTGCACACTGATTAGATTTCAGAAAAACGTGCCTCACCAGGTAACAAGCGCATAGAAAGGTACTGCATCAAGTAAACAAGGATGAATAAAAACCACATAGATAATCTTTACTGCATGGCAATGACAGACATATCCTAAATTACTAAATAATAAACTGCTGTCCCCTTATACGCAGTTCATTACAATTTTATTGTGAATAATTTTCTTGAAGGACTTTCATACGATGAACAAAAAAAGAGCATTTTCATACCCTATGAGCATACTCTGCCAATTTGAGTAGACAAAAAAAAAATGTAATCAAACGCAAAATGCATCAGTGAAATCTGTTGACTGAGAAAAATATAATTTTTTCTCTGTCATATTCTTTCAGTCCTACATGCTGAATCAAACCCACACTTTAATTCCTGCAGTTTGCATCTGTAGATCTGTGAGCCTCATTGCTCTGACGTGTTTCCTAGTTAAGTCACTCCGACTCAGGGAGCACATACAGACGGCACGGGTGAGTGCTGCCAGTGGGCAGGCATTGCAAACGGTACACAGACGATTACAGCACAGTAAATGCACCCAGATTTAGAAACTTCATTCTTGTTTTCTGCAGCCTTTCAGCATGTTTTGTTACACTCAGCTCCCTTTTGAGCCCTTCATAATATAAGTGATTCTCTGCCATTGAGAGCAGAGTTTTTAATGCTTGCTGCCAAGCTGGGTTATCCAGAGGTCTATAAATCAATAATGTTTTGACAGTGTTGACAAAACTGTGAGACTGTCATGACATCTAGGTCGAAGAACAGTAACTGTTGGACCAAAGCTTATAGAAGAAATTATTTTCATGAAAAAGGACGACTTTTTTCTTTTCCTTTTCTCAGTGGGGAGCTAAGTCTGTGCAGGTCTCTGTGGGGATTTCAGTGCTTTTGCACATTATTTCTTAACAGTGTCATACTCAAGCTGGAGCAAACCTACAGTCTGCGAGGAAACTCTGGCAGTAGTGGACTTAATGGATCCAGAGAGTGTCCATCCATGCAGCATAAACAGTCTGCAGAATGAGCTGAGTGTACTCAACACTTAATGCAGTCGTTTGCTGACTTGGCAAACAATAAATGTCATAGAATGAGTTCTAATATAATATGTGACAGGGAAGTAGAGACAGGCTGAGAGGCAGATGGATAGGAAGCAAACTGTGGTGCTCATCTCAGACTCAAATCACCGATGGTTACAAACTGCAGCAGCCTGTTCGCATTAAATATGGCATGGATAATTGATGGGCTTTGGACATTAAATCTGTCCTAGGTGCATACACTGCATGTGTTTGGGTGCGTGTGCATGTTGTGTTCCTGTGTAGGCATGTGTGTGCCTGTGTGTGTCTGTGTGTAATTGATGGGGCTTGGACAGGGATACTGGCAGACCACCAAAGGAAGTCAGGGACACTCTGCCAGGGTCTTGCAGGCTCCGAAAAAAATATATGCATCGATCTTGCCAAGCTTCTTATCCCCTGCACCTTTACCTGCAGAATCACTATTTAAGAATTATACCTTCACTCAGAAATAAGTTAGATGGTCATGTATGTACAGCCACACGCATGCAAACACACTGTTGTATGAATATAACCAAATGTGCTGTCTCCTGAGATCATGATTATGATAATGTCTTCACCAATATGGTGATGCAAACTGACGGAGAGGAAGACGTGCTGCTCAGCCTGATGGCTTTTAGGGTATTTTGGCAGGTACCTCTGTGACTGATTTTCTGAGTGTTATAGCATCACAACTGTGCTACATATAGTCACAAAACTGCAAGTATGTAGTTGGGTTGTGGATATGTTTAGTCTGATCCATGAGTACTGAGAAAATGACACTTTAATTTGTCCCACAGCACAGTGTGTCTGTTTAATGTATTTTTGACTTCCATGTATCTTTACATGATGTACAAACATATAATCATTGACACACAAGGCTGGGGTTTGATAATTCATCGCAGCTGGCTGGTTATCCAGCAGTTGTGCTCTGTGATACTAACCAATAACACTAACAGTTATGGGATCTCTGCATTTTCTTGAATAAATAATTTCCATGTTTTTTTGTGGGCGTGAAGGAAATCGGACAGTGGAGAGTTAAGTGTGTGGCAGGGATAAAGATTTATCGAGCTGATTTAAAAGTATGACCAAGGCAAAGACATGGTTAGGCTGTCCCTGTCCATGGTGCTGACTGCTCCATCATCATTACCACTGTCATCAGCCTCCTCCGCTTTGAGCCTACTGGAGCTGTCTGAGTGATACTGGTTTCTGTTTTTTATCAGGCAATGCCTGAGAAAGCAGTATCTGTGTTGGAAGGGGAAAGGAAAACAAACACTTGTTTATCAGACGATATTAGTCATAGCTTCTAAACACTGATTAAAGTAGAAGAAATTGAAGCCGGGGAAGGAAAAAAAATGTCCTGACGTAAGGATACTGTTACACGACTTCAAATTCACACAGCTCTCAAGATCCAGTCGGCTGATTTGATTGAAATAAAACAGCGTTCACCCGAACCACGATAAGACACAGAAATCGGAGGCACAATAGGTAAGACATTCAGTTACAAGACGGCAATTCTCAAGCTGGATTTCTTAGAAAAACAGCAAAGGGAGGTGCACAATACATCTTGGAGCTTTTTTCATAAAGCACTCACAGAAAATGTAAAGAATTTCCTTACCTCTGTCGCCATATTGCAGTGAGTGGGTTGCGGGATCTGTCCCGTGCTGAAAACGGCAACCGTTTGCGCGTGCTGTTTGGGACAACGCAACTACAGCCCGCCGGTAAGCGGTCGCCCGCGTGCACGTGTGTGTGCGTGACTGCGCGCGCTCCTGCTGGAGACTCCTGCGGGATGCGGTCACTGGTGGTTATGCTAATCTGAATTTCTGTTTATCCAGAATAATCTGCTTTCAGATTCAGTCACAGTTCAGAAAGCAAACGGAGGTTACTTTGAAGCATCAGCAGTTTATTTGGGTTAGTTTTTCCTTTTTTGCCCCCCTTTTATTTTAGGGCTATATTAATAATTACATTGGTTATCAATAATTCAAACAAAGTGCCCTGGCTGCTGCTTCTGTTTGTGACCAGTCAGGATGCCCAACAATCGCTTTATCTTAGTCCTGTTTCTACAGCGTGGAGTATTAATAATAATGATGATAAAAATGGTCATTGGGTATTAGATCATTACATTGAATGATAAAGTGATTCCACTGGGAATATTACAGGAAAGTTTGTTTTTTTTAAACAGATGACTCACTCTTAACTGCTAGCATGCAGAAATACTTCTGTTCAGTCATACTGTACCCTGTTTTCATATCTAGGCACTTGCTGCATTTTTCCCTTCAAGAAACAGAAAATTCTTCCACGTCATGGACACACCAAGGTCTTACCTGAGGTGAATTATTTAGAAGGTTGGCTTAAAATTCAAAAACGCGACTAAAATGTGGTAGCATGATAAAGACTTATATGTTTGTGCTACTGAAAATGTTTTTCTTTAGATAAAAATGAGAGAATGAAGAACTACAGGGAGTAAAAAGACTTTGTTTGACACCATGAATGCAGTGTGCTGAAATGAACGACTTCCCTGGCAAACTCCCTCAAATCAAACACAGGCAATGCAAACACACATTATATTTAGAAAGACACAACAGCAAGCAACTCTTGTGAATGGAAACAGAATCCAAAAATAAGACAGGAGTGCTCTAGCAAAAAGAAAATTATGCAAAACTAATATTATCTGCCAAGATCACTGCTTGCTCCAGATTGCTTGAAAAGATGTGTATCTAATCACACACTGGCACAGATTCCTTTGGGCTGTGTTTATTTATATCCACATTCACATGTTTTGTTTGCATGTGAATCTGTGTGTGTGTTCTCCATATGACAGTCTCTGATATATCTTAAGCTCAGTCACATGTACACGTTATTAGGCACGCTGACCGCACCATTTGCCTGAGCTGAAACACCCTATTATTCAGCTGATGCGGTTTTTAGTGTAAATATTTAATTTATGTGCATATTGAAGTGGAATACATTGCAGTGAAACTCCTACACTGCAACACGAAGAAATGCCCATCACACACCCGAATACAGGTGACTTTAAAAAATCTTGAAGAAACATAAAAAAAGAATATCTAATGCATATTTAATGCATTATCTGATTTGTCAACATCACAAAGCTAAATTTTGACACAGTTTTAAACCTAAATAATCCCAAATAGGAGCAGATTTATTTATTTATTGTATCCTTTGTGATTGCAATCCTAGAAGATGAGGGGACTCCCCAAACACTTGTCTGTGGTAGACATTGGATCATTGCATATAACACAAGTATTCAACAACAACAAGAAAACCCTCAAAAAGGGAAAGGTTTTGCAGGTGGTCCTCACAGACTGTTTCTCTCTCCTATCTCTTCTGACTTATTTTTATGGGTTTTGGTTTGTGTTCGTGTTCACTGTCACTACTGCTAGCATGATGGTACATGCACCCCCATGTAGTCCAGCCCCTCCAGGATGGCAGATCCAAATGTGCCGTTGCAAGAAGGTCTCCCAGCACAGTCTAAAGAACGTGGAAGAGATGGACCACACCAGCAGGACCGGTATCTACGCCTCAGTACAAGGAAGTAAAGGAGGAGCGCTGGCAGAGTCCTCTACGATGACCTCTGATGGGCTACTTTAGCATTTTTCTGACAAACAGACTCCATGGGGCACGTGAGAGCTCAACATCCCATGTTTTGTGAGACCTGTGCTCACAGACCAGTACTGTGCAGGTCAAGTTGAATTCACTCGCAGACACATATGTACTCTGAGCACATTTGACAGACATCAAAGAATCTGTGGCAAACATTATGCTGCTTGCAACATCATCTCTAATGATCTGTAATGACCTGTATTGAATTAATGGTCTAACATAACCAAACTATGCTGTGCCATGGCTAAGAAGGAAGGTGTGGCTGGGATGATGTGATGTTGTTGCAGACAGCTGTGGTGGCTATTTTGTGCTTGTGTGAGCATTTATATTTGATCATAGGATTGACACATATGTACTGATATGCTAAGATGACTGAGATAGGAAAGCTATTGGGATTTGAGCTGTCTTTTGGGTTTTCAGCGGATATAAGCGAGCTGTAGAAAATTACAGGGTTGTTGCGTTAAACCTTCCATCATGGCTGAACATATGCATTCCTATTCATATTGAGAAAGTAATGAAAGAAGACGTCTTCATATAATATCTCACTCTGCTATTTCAGTGTGAGTCTAAATCAACACTTCAGCAGAAAATAATAAGGTTGCCACAGCCCTAAATTATCATAATGACCCATAGTGCTGTACATAGACACACACTGACCGCACACAAATATTGTCTTTTTCACTTTTCGTATTTCATGAAATATTTATTTCAGCAAGACATTCTTGGTTTCTGCCTCGCTCCAGAACTGCCAGTTTCTATTTGGACCCTGTGCTGTGAAATGTTGAAGATGGTGATACTGACCCTGCAATGAAAAGGAAAATAAGAGCTTAAGAAAACATCAGCTATTTTTTTTTCTCTTCCCATGTCCTTAAACTTGCAGTGTTAAGGTAGAATTAAACACTTTGTCAGGGTTTCTTGGTTAAAGTGGTTTTGACTTGTCAGGTTAATCAAATCATCACCTGCAATGTGGAAGAGTGACCAGTACATTGCATATGACATGACATGTGAATGGACAAAAAAAATAAGCACTAAGGATTTTTAGTCCCCATGCACTTATTAAAATCCCAGTTTGAATAACACTGTGCTTGAGCATTATGTTTGGCTCACTGCTACACAAATCAGTTTGTTGGTGTGCTTGGTTGCTGTCATGAAAGTCTTGTCTTTATTTGTGCCTTTTAATGCATGTGTGTGTCACTGGATTTGTGACTGTGTTGTCCTGAAATGCCAGTACATAAAAGTGTTAGTACAGACTTTCACTTTACTCTTGTGCGTCTCTCATGCTACCTCTACAAGGGTGTAATGCATGCAACTTGCGCTCATGCATGCCGTATTTTGTATCTCCAGCACATCTGGGCTCAGTGCCATTGCAAACACCCTTCTCTATTGACTTAACCACAAGTTGAGAATCTCTCTCACACACACTTATGCACAGAATTGGGCTGTAAGACAGTCAAAGAGATCCTGTTCTCTTCCAACATGACAGGAAATGAGAACACTCAACCCAAAAAAATATATTAACTTGGAATCTATAAAAGCAAATAAACATCTTCTGAAATGCCTCCCAACATTTTGGATAGTCAAATGAAATAAAGCTCGACAAGTTGTCTTTTTCAGTCTGCCACACATCCTCAATCTTTTGTAAGAACCCATTGGCTTATGTAGTGTCTTTTTGGCCTCTCAGCAATTGGTCTGGTTCTGCTAGCAATCGGATCTGAGTCAAAGACTTTTCCATTTTAAAGCCAGAGGATGTTCTCATATCTGATGTCAATGCTGGCTAGGTAACTCCCGCATATTAAGCTAGTATATGGGAGATTCACATGTCATTGTCGTAACACAACTCTAAGCAGACATTCAGGAGGAAAATGCTTATTCTGAGTGAAGTTAAAAGAAAGGAGCTGATGAATAGAATTATAAGAAAGGAAGAGGCTTATTATTGCAGACAGAGGGGAGGAAGCTGTGATTCAGAGTATCCAGGCCTTTGTTTCTTCTTGCTGAGAAATAACAAGAACTGGGTGGCAGACAGATAAACGAAAGAGGCTGACAACTGTGCATGTTCCCAATTATGTCGTGCTTGAGCCAAAGTACAAACAGAAGAAATAAGAAACATCCTTGTTATAAAATGCAGAATCTTCAATAACATAAAATGTCGTACTCAAGGGCTTGAATGGGGCAATACAAAGAAATAATCCATCTGTATAGAGATATGCATACATTCCCAGACAGGCTAAAAATATTTCAATAAGGAAAGATTATAAGAAGGAGCTGAACATGATTTATTGATGTATAGAATTCAATATGAGGTATTTGGCGCTTAGACTCTGATGGCCCATCACAGCAGAACAGAATCCCAGCGGTGATAGAGATTAGGACAGGAGTGTAGATGCTTTTGATGGAGATGAAGATGGCGGATTGAATGATGAGGAAGAGGCAGTGATGGGGAGGAAGTGGGTTGCATCTGCAAGGAAGAAAAACAGATGCGCAGATGCAGATTTAACATAGTTGAAGTGTTGAAGGCAAATTGGCCTAAAGAAGGCCGGCAGTGTGTGAAAGTGGAAGTGATGTAAAGTTAAAATTAGCCGCCAACACCTGAGAAACAGACAGGTGTATGACTACAGATCTTCCTTATTGAACTTACGCGTAAGCTTTATTAGAATAGAACTGAATAGGACATTTGGGATGAGAGAATGACATGCCAGAAGCATACAAAAGATTTTCATGTAATATATTTCAGATCAAGGGAAACACATCAGCATTACTGAGGTGCTCTGAGCTATCCGACACGGAGGTTGCAAAGGAAAAAAGAAGGGTGAGTGATGGGAAGGGAGCGAAGTCAAACAGAATACAGAAAGGTAGAGAGGATGCATTTTTGTGCATGTAATCCCGCATGAGCAACAATACAGTTAATTTAGCGGTAAGGAAGATAATAACATGCAACAAATGAAATTCCCTTGCCACTTTGAGGTAGTCAGAGGCTTCACAAAGGAGTGCTATGTAAATTCTTGTAAGAATAAATAGAATGGAATAAGACAAGAGACGATGGAGATTTAAATGAGTTTGTCATGAACTGGGCTCCATTGTAAAGCGCAGAAACATTGCTGTAACGCT